AAGGTGGCTAATGTTGGGCTATGAAGGACTCAGGTGGAGGACTCATAATGCTGACTCATGTCTCTCAGGTCCTGTGCTCAGCAGTCTCTGAACAGACTCTCCTGAAGACTGTAACTCGTATCTTCTCGGAGGCCGAGGCTGAAAACCAGGACCAACGACCGCTGCCCCAACCAGGTACTACTACTACTACTGTATACTACTGTATACTAATATATACTACTGTATACATTACTAATATATACTACTGTACACTACTGATCTTCATGAAGTTAAATCCTGTTTTAAAGTCCAATTAAGTATATTGTGTGTGTGTGTGTGTGTGTGTGTGTGTGTGTGTGTGTGTGTGTGTGTGCGCGTGTGTGTGTGTGCGCGTGTGTGTGTGTGTGTGTGTGTGCGTGTGTGCGCGTGTGTGCGTGTGTGTGTGTGTGTGTGTGTGTGTGTAGATCTCAGTGTGTATGATGAGATCATGCAGCCCGTCCTTCACTCTGGATTCCTCTATAAATCCGTCCACCGGGGGACGCTGTCCCGCAGAACCAGAGAAGGTATTTCACATTCATTTAGAACTTTATTTAGAACCAGTTTGTGGAACATTTTTAAATGATCATTAGTCGTGTTCCATTCGAGATGTTGTCGACTGAAAGACACACAGAAAATGTGGCCGATATACGGCGGGACTTTAAAATATCATCTTTATCGTGTACTTGAAATAAAATGAGAACATTTTTAGATATTTGTGTTACTTTTTTGCATATTTTTTTAACATTATGATTGATCATTAGTCATGTTTCCACAAACACACACACACACCTGCTCACACACACACCTGCTCACACACACACACACACACACACACACACCTGCTCACACACACACACACACACACACACACACACACACACACACACACAGCTGTGTGTGTGTGTGTGTGTGTGTGTGTGTGTGTGTGTGAGCAGGTGTGTTTAAACAGACGTTAACAAATGCAGACATTGAGATGTAAAGCACTGACGGAGGACTCGAAGCAGCAGCTTGAAGTCTGTCAGGATGCATTCTGAGAGTCCTCCATGAAGTCCTGAAATGCTCCGTGTGTGTCTCAGACTTCCAGAGGTTCTGGTGCTCGGTGGGCGACTCGGTGCTGCTGTACGAGTCGGACCGGGCCCCTGAAGCCTGCCTGCAGATCAGCGTCAGAGACATCGTGTGTTTGGGGGTCAGCCGCCCCGACGCGTCCAACAACAACGGCTTCATCGACAGGTCCCCCCCCCCCCCCTCTAACACACAGCTTCTATATCTCATAGATCTGTGTCCAAGTGTTGTTTGTCTCTACTCTTATACATACTCTTAAAGGTCTCCTATTATACTATTTTAAGGCATAAATTATAGGTCTCTAAAAATATATTAAAAAACATGTCTCTGAAGTGTTTTGCTCAAAATACCAAACACATCATTCTCGGCCCCCCCCCTCTCTTCCAGCTGTTACTAAAGAGATGACTCTGGGTCTGTAGCTTTAAATGCTGCATGCTAATGTGAACACAGAGCATATCACTTCCAGAACACGTCTCATTGTTTCTGACAGCAACGTTTCTGATTGGCCCGTGGGTGTAAAGCCCGCCCACATTTTAGTAATGTGGTCATGAGTCTCCTGACACACCGGGGACACACCAGGGACACACCGGGGACACACCGGGGACACATGGTGATGTAGAGAAGACATCACTTAGTGAGTCTCCTGACACACCGGGGACACACCGGGGACACACCGGGGACACACCGGGGACACATGGTGATGTAGAGAAGACATCACTTAGTGAGTCTCCTGACACACCGGGGACACACCAGGGACACACCGGGGACACACCGGGGACACATGGTGATGTAGAGAAGACATCACTTAGTGAGTCTCCTGACACACCGGGGACACACCGGGGACACACCGGGGACACACCGGGGACACATGGTGATGTAGAGAAGACATCACTTAGTGAGTCTCCTGACACACCGGGGACACACCAGGGACACACCGGGGACACACCGGGGACACATGGTGATGTAGAGAAGACATCACTTAGTGAGTCTCCTGACACACCGGGGACACACCGGGGACACACCGGGGACACACCAGGGACACATGGTGATGTAGAGAAGACATTGTCCCACCCCCTCCAGGACACCCTGTCCTCACTGTGCAGCTCCTTCAGCGACAGGCTGCTGCACCCCAGCTGTCACACGGAGAGATACCGCAGGTCCTTCCTTCCTGCAGCGGTCAGACTATACAACCAGCACAGCCCCTAGTAGACGCCCCCCCCCACACACACACACCACAACACAGACTATATCACCCCTTGCTGCTAAATACCAATCAACTATGTGCAATATGTGCTATATGTGCAATATATACATGATATACAGATTCCATTAATAACTGTAATATATACCTGGCTGCTAAATCCTAAGAACTTACCGGATTTGTATTTTGGAAAGTATTTTTCTTTAGTTTTATTTTTTTTATTATATTTTTATTATATCATAACTTAGTATGTCTGTGGCTCTTTCCTGCTGTAACGATGCAAATGTCCCCTCTGTGGGACTAATAAAGGTATTCTGATTCTGCATGATAGGAGACCTCTAAATCTGTGTGTGTCCTCTCAGGTTCAGGTTCACCTTCGAGATGTGTCTGTCTTCAGAGAAACTCCTGCAGTTCGGCTTGGAGACGGCCGACGCTCTGCACAGCTGGACCAGGTCCATCGGGAAGGTCTGTCCTCATCTGTCTGTCCTCATCTGTCTGTCCTCATCTGTCTGTCCTCATCTGTCTCTCTCCGTCTATCCTCTGTCTCTGTCCTCAACTGTCTAAATGCACATCGCAGGTTTATTTATTATCTGTTTCATCCGTCTGTCCTCTGGGTGTCTCCAGGCTTTGTCCCCCCTGAGCGTCCACTGTCTTCTGTCCCGGGAGTTTGAGCGTGTCGGGGTCCTGCGGTACCGGAACATGTTGGACGCCCAGCAGTGGAGGGACGCCTTCTTCGTCCTCCAGAAGACAAACCTGTTCATCTGTCCCCGAAGGGACGGAGCGGCCGAGGACATCATCAACCTGAAGCGCCTGCAGGAGCTCAGTGAGACACACACACACACACACACACACACACACACACACACACCACACACACACACACACACACACACACACACACACACACACACACACACACACACACACACACACCCACACACACACACAGAGGGTCTGAGGGTCTTCAGCGCTCTCTGTTTGTGTTGAAGGCATCTCCTCGGAGACGGAGAACCAGGAGAAGAAGGACATTCTGGTGCTGGTGGAGAGGGGGAGGTGAGAGCCCATCTGCTGATACTCAAGATCCAAGGCTCTATCATCATGTAGCAGCTACTGTGGAGACACGGAGAGGAGAAGCTGAAGTCTCCTCCAACAGAGCAACATGAATATATATATAGAAGATAAAAAACATCAAACAGATCAAATAGTGAAGAGAGAGTTCTGAGATGAGCAAGTTAATACAAACACAATAGAATGATATGATATATTCCATAAATAAATGGCAAGATGCGAATGTTCTGGATGTTCTTTAAAAAGGTTAATAGATGGAAGCGTTTATTTATTCATTCACCTTCTGGATTGCTTAGTTTGTGCTTTCTACATGTATTTCTTTAGTGCTTCTGTTAGCTGTCGTGTGTCATAGTGGATCCCTTCTGGTCTTTAACCTGCACACGGGTACAAACAAACATCAAATCAAAATGGTGAAAAAAAGTCAGAAAATGTCATAATAAAAAGAAATGGCAAGATTCTGAGAAAAAGTCAGAATTGTTAAGAAAAGTTCACAAAAATGTCAAAATATAAAAAAAGTCAACATTTAAAAAAGAAAAGCCCAGAAACTGCCGGATGCTAACCTGCATATGATGGCATCTTGCACCTTTAGCAATAGTTAGACTCTGCTGGTTGTGACGGTGTTTCGTGTCTCCGTCAGGACGCTCCACCTGCAGGGCGTCGGGCGCTCAGACTTCTCTCTCTGGTTCTCGGACATCCAGCGGGCGGCGGGCGGGGAAGGAAGCGCGCTGAGGGAGCAGCAGCTGAGCAGGAACGACATTCCCATCATCGTGGACAGCTGCCTGGCCTTCATCACGCAGTACGGTGAGCAGAGAGCAACGCACACCTGGTGGGGCACCACACAGAACCTCATCCTCTCACAAAGGGCAGAGGCTTCAACCACTTTCTCCGCAACACTACACACCCCGCTCAACAATCCCAAGGGAACCGCCACTTAACCTGCCAGGGAAAACTCCACACCGCTCCGCACCGCTCCACATACAACGCACCAACAAACCCACACGTGTCAACGAGAGAGAAAGGAAAAAAACAAAAACAAACAGCTGACCACGGCTAAGAACAACTAGCAACCACTCTCCCGAAATATAATACAAAACAAATTAAAGCCTCACAAAGTAATCTAATAAAGTCCCCAAACAACGATCTGAAATATACTGTCCTCCCCACATGCGGTCTAATGAGCCGAAACACAGAAACCGGCCGCACTAAACACACTAATGTGTTTTTATTACATGTACAGCACTTTGGCTCGACCAAAAATCGCTTTTAAATGTGCTTTATAAATAAAACTTGATTTGATTTGATTGACTGCATGCGCTCCCAACACACTTTACACACGCGCACCACTCCTAACACAAGTCTTACCTATCTGTTGCTGTAGTACAGATAAGAGAAGCGGACGAGCCCCCATCTGTCATGGCCTGGCTCTTGGCCATAACAAAAAGCGTGGGAAGGACAAGAATATATAGGAAAATATATTTATTAACGTAAACCAAAACTAACACAAAGGAAAAGCAAAAAGACTAAGCGACGTGGCTGCTCCGAGGTCAGGTCCTCTGCGGGGAGAGCGATCGAGACTCTGGCACAGGCCTCTTAATCCTCCGGGGCCAGCGCCGTCAGGTGTCCTCAATCAGTGCGGGCACAAGCAGAGGAAGAACATTAAAGGGACACACACACACAACAGGAGACAGTAAAGCAGGGGTCGTCACATGGTGTACGGTCAAAAGATGGCGTATGCCAATTTCTAAGCAATCTTTGCAATTTATAAAAAACAAACTTCAAGGGAAAATGTGCGGTCCTCCACGGACACTCTGACGCGTGTCCTCCACGGACACTCTGACGCGTGTCCTCCACGGACACTCTGACGCGTGTCCTCCACGGACACTCTGACCCGTGTCCTCCACGGACACTCTGACGCGTGTCCTCCACGGACACTCTGACCCGTGTCCTCCACGGACACTCTGACCCGTGTCCTCCACGGACACTCTGACGCGTGTCCTTCACGGACACTCTGACCCGTGTCCTCCACGGACACTCTGACCCGTGTCCTCCACGGACACTCTGACCCGTGTCCTCCACGGACACTCTGACCCGTGTCCTCCACGGACACTCTGACGCGTGTCCTCCACGGACACTCTGACCCGTGTCCTCCACGGACACTCTGATTAGATTGTAAACTTTAGTTATCTCAGTGGGTCTCAAACGGTTTGGTCATCTATGTAAACAAATATTTCCATCTATTTAATATAGTTGTTCAAAATAAGTTAAGAAATAATTCCAATGTCAGTAAAAAATCAAAAACACAGTTTAAAAGGCGAGTGATTAGTAAATGCATAAATAAAAAGAAAGAATGCAGACTAGGTAAGATAAAGAAAGGAGAGAGGAGTATATCGATGATGTGTTATTGGTTGTGAGCATATTCTAATGGTTTGGAGTATTGAAATATATACAGTTCTGTTTCATCTGAGTGTTGAGAGCTGTATCCATACATCTCTTCATGTTGCCCTCAAAGTGCACCAGATTGATGCTTTAACTTCAATGTAAAGAAACAAATCTTCCCGGAGGAGGTGAGGTCATCTCAAATAAAACAGGTTCACATGGATAGGATACTAGATAAGTGTGCGCACTCATTATATACACGACACATTTTTCTTGGATTTGTTAACACCATAGTCCCTAATATATTTGTAGAAAGGCAGGAAATGGAATTAAATCGAGAACAATGTTTCATTGCGGAGGACCCCCTGTTTTGTGTCCCCCCCACTTCTCAAACCAAAGTTACACCCTTGAATACGTCTATCATATATATGTCTCTCTGTGAAGTGTCCTTTACCCGTAACGCTGAGTCAGCAGCTCTGTCTCCGCAGGGCTGGGCCACGAGGGGATCTACAGGAAGAACGGCTCCAGGACCAGAATCAAACTCCTGATGGACGAGTTCCGGAAAGACGCCCGAAACGTGAAGCTGCGCATCGGAGACCACTTCATCGAGGACGTGACGGACGTCCTGAAGAGGTTCTTCAGGGAGGTGGACGACCCCGTCTTCATGGACGACCTCCACCCGCTGTGGCAGGACGCTGCCAGTGAGTCAGCAAATACACCTGGTTCCACCCTGACATGCAGACCACCTTAAAGTTACCTGGTTCCACCTTGACATGCAGACCACCTCAAAGTGACCTGGTTCCACCCTGACATGCAGACCACCTTAAAGTGACCTGGTTCCACCTTGACATGCAGACCACCTCAAATTGACCTGGTTCCACCTTGACATGCAGACCACCTCAAAGTGACCTGGTTCCACCCTGACATGCAGACCACCTTAAAGTGACCTGGGTCCACTCTGACATGCAGACCACCTTAAAGTGACCTGGTTCCACCCTGACATGCAGACCACCTTAAAGTGACCTGGGTCCACCCTGACATGCAGACCACCTCAAAGTGACCTGGTTCCACCCTGACATGCAGACCACCTTAAAGTGACCTGGGTCCACTCTGACATGCAGACCACCTTAAAGTGACCTGGTTCCACCCTGACATGCAGACCACCTTAAAGTGACCTGGGTCCACCCTGACATGCAGACCACCTCAAAGTGACCTGGTTCCACCCTGACATGCAGACCACCTTAAAGTTACCTGGTTCCACCCTGACATGCAGACCACCTTAAAGTGACCTGGGTCCACCCTGACATGCAGACCACCTTAATGTGACCTGGTTCCACCCTGACATGCAGACCACCTTAAAGTGACCTGGTTCCACCCTGACATGCAGACCACCTTAAAGTGACCTGGTTCCACCCTGACATGCAGACCACCTTAAAGTGACCTGGGTCCACCCTGACATGCAGACCACCTTAAAGTGACCTGGGTCCACCCTAACATGCAGACCACCCTAAAGTTACCTCGGTCCACCCTGACATGCAGACCACCTTAAAGTGACCTGGTTCCACCCTGACATGCAGACCACCTTAAAGTGACCTGGTTCCACCCTGACATGCAGACCACCTCAAAGTGACCTGGTTCCACCCTGACATGCAGACCACCTCAAAGTGACCTGGTTCCACCCTGACATGCAGACCACCTCAAAGTGACCTGGTTCCACCCTGACATGCAGACCACCTTAAAGTGACCTGGTTCCACTCTGACATGCAGACCACCTCAAAGTGACCTGGTTCCACCCTGACATGCAGACCACCTTAAAGTGACCTGGTTCCACTCTGACATGCAGACCACCTTAAAGTGACCTGGTTCCACCCTGACATGCAGACCACCTTAAAGTGACCTGGTTCCACCCTGACATGCAGACCACCTTAAAGTGACCTGGTTCCACCCTGACATGCAGACCACCTTAAAGTGACCTGGTTCCACCCTGACATGCAGACCACCTTAAAGTGACCTGGTTCCACCCTGACATGCAGACCACCTTAAAGTGACCTGGGTCCACCCTGACATGCAGACCACCTTAAAGTGACCTGGGTCCACTCTGACATGCAGACCACCTTAAAGTGACCTGGGTCCACTCTGACATGCAGACCACCTCAAAGTGACCTGGGTCCACCCTGACATGCAGACCACCTCAAAGTGACCTGGGTCCACCCTGACATGCAGACCACCTCAAAGTGACCTGGGTCCACTCTGACATGCAGACCACCTTAAAGTGACCTGGGTCCACTCTGACATGCAGACCACCTTAAAGTGAAAGATCCTGTCTCACTGAATGAAAGATCCTGTGAGTGATATTCAGGACAGGATGTGAATAGGTGAGTTCTGATTTGTGTATGTGCCCTCAGGAATCCCCCAGAAGAGAGCGAGGCTGGACCGCTACAAGGAGATCATCCGGACCCTGCCCCGGGTCAACAGGACCACCCTGGCTGCGCTCATCAGTCACCTGTACAGGTGAGCTCCCTGAGGACTCCATCGCACACTCTCATGATGAATGGGAGATACAGGGTCCCACGATTCAATAAAGTTAGACTGAAGTCAATCCTAAATTAAATCCAGAGCTCAATCCTAGGTCTGATGTTAGAGGGTCTTCATCATTTCTTCTTCAGTGATTGTGATGATATTTTAAATGTCCGTTTCCTGTTTCCTGTCTTAATATCGGTCCTTGTTGATGTTGCACATGGAGAAACATTTCAGACCTGATCTTATAGTTTCTTACCGTTTTCTTTAGTATCATTTTATCATGTATTATCTTCTTGTACCGTTTAATCGTACTGTACTGTATCACCGTATAATTCTATCATATCGTTCCGTACCTTAAGGTATAATCGTATCATATTGTACCGTCTCGTATCATTGAACCATACCTTACCGTACCGTACCGCAACGTATCGTATTATAATATCATACAGTACCGCACATTACCGTAGCGTATCATCGTTTTGTAAGGTATTCTATCATATCACGCCGTACCATATTATCTAATCGTACCGTATCATCGTGCCGTACCGTATCATCGTCTCCTTCTAATAAAGCTACCAGCTGAGCTTCTGAAAACACTGCAACGGATTCACGGTTCTTCTCCGATCCGGTTCCAGGGTCCAGAAGTGTGCCGATCTGAACCAGATGTGCACCAAGAACCTGTCGCTGCTGTTCGCCCCCAGCCTGTTCCAGACCCACGGGAAGGGCGAGCACGAGGTGAAGATCGTGGAGGATCTGATCGACAACTACCTGCACGTCTTCGATGTGAGTACGACCCTCCTCTTTGTCCTGAAACCTGAACCTGTGTCGTTTTTCCAACACTTTCTAATGTGAAGGTGGCGTGGTTCGATCTAAACTGGGTTGTAAGGATGGACTGAACACTGCTCCTGTTTCAGATCGACGAGGAGCATCAGACGCAGATCGAGCTGGAGGTCAGCCTCATCACCACCTGGAAGGACACGCAGGTACCTGATATATAAAACCACATATAATAATGCTGGTCAAACGTGTGTTTAATAATGAGTTATGAGTGAGTTAGCTGTTATAACTTAATTTAAACAAGAGTCGTAATCATTTCCTAGTAAGTCGGTTAAAGTAATTTATACATTAGTAATACACTGATGATACATTTGTTATATGTAAATTAAAGGATGGTTTTCAATCACTAATCCATTTTGTAATTATGGTCTTATAATTTAGCATAAGTCACAAGTTGGTAATTATAATGTAAATATTTAGAAACTAGTCCCTAATAAATGAGTCATTATCTGATCATCAGTTTGAATTGAGCTAATTGTAATAAGGTAGTTAGAAATACATTTATGATAAGTTTTAAATACATTAGTAAAAATGTGTTAATAAATGTTGTTTGGATTACGAAAGAGGATTAGGGCGTGAGAAATGTTTTGAGATCTGACCGAAAGGGAATTTCAATTTTAGGTCTGAGGACAAAAGAAAGATCAGATTCTGAGATAAAGTGAACATTCTGAAAAAGTTAAAATTCTGAGAAAAAGTCCAATTCTGAACCAATCGAAATTCAGAACAAGTCAAAATTCAGAACAAGTCGAAATTCAGAACAAGTCGAAATTCAGAACAAGTCGAAATTCAGAACAAGTCAAAATTCAGAACAAGTCGAAATTCTGAAAAAAAAGTCAAAATAATTTTTTTTTCTAAAAAAGTCAGTTTATATTGAACTCATGGTCTGATCTCAAACAGATTCATGTTTGGCCCTAATCCCCCACGGGTAAAATGATTACAAATGTTGAAGAACTGCGAGAGGAAAGTATTTTTTGTGAGCAGAAAGATAATTTATTATTAATAAAGTTTGAGGAGAGAGTTAATGGAGTTTAATATTAATAAAGGTTGTTATTAATAAAGTTTGACGGGGATTGTTTCTGCGAGCAGCTGTCTCAGGCTGGAGATCTGATCATCGAGGTTTACCTGGAGAGGAAGAACCCCGACTGCTGCATCACCCTCAAGGTACGCCTGCTGGCTGCTGATGAATGATGATCATTATGTTGGGAAAATCCTGAATGTCCTCTTCCAGTATGAGAGTAACATGATAACAAAGGTATCCCAACTGTAGCTGTGTACATGACAGGATGTATGATTACCTAGAAGAGCGTCAGGACTGTTTTAGGCATATGATAGCTATGTGATTAACATGATGATTCAGCCTCTATGGAGATAGACATATGACAAGCATGATCATTTCTGACGTGGAGCTAATCTGAAGTAAACATTGAATACTGCTTTCTATTCCTCCATCTTGTGACTGTGTAACTCCCTCTCTTGGATATCAGCATGTGAAGGACACTGTTCAGGAACTAGTTGATGCTCTGTATGTGATGACTACTTCCATTCTGGAGAGGATCACAAATACATGGATCCTGAGATTGAAGCTCAAGCCGGGGACCAGTGATTATTAACATTTTGAAGATTTTGAGAAAAAGTCAGAATTTGGTGAAAAAGTCAGAATTTTTGATAGAAGTCAGATTTTTGATATTTTGATAAAAAGTCAGAATTTTGATATTTTGATAAAAAGTCAGAATTTTTATATTTTGAGAAAAAGTCGGAATTTTGATAGTTTCAGAAAAAAACCAACATTTTGAGAACAAGCTCAGTGTTTTGTACATGACAACCGGTATTCCTCCATCTTGTGACTGTGTAACTCCCTCTCTTGGATATCAGCATGTGAAGGACACTGTTCAGGAACTAGTTGATGCTCTGTATGTGATGACTACTTCCATTCTGGAGAGGATCACAGATACATGGATCCTGAGATTGAAGCTCCAGCCGGGGACAAAATGTTGTCCCTGGTCAAAATGTTGAGATGTTTGATTAAAAGTCAACATTTTGAGAAAAAGTCAACATTTTTTGATTTTTTATAAAAAGTGAGATTTTTTGAGATTTTGAGGAAAAATTCAACATTTTTACATTTTTAGAAAAAGTCAGAATTTTTGAGATTTTGAGGAAAAAAATGAATTTTGCGATTTTGAGAAAAAGTCCGAATTTTTAGATTATCAGAAAAAGTCAGAACCGGTATTCCTCCATCTTGTGACTGTGTAACTCCCTCTCTTGGATATCAGCATGTGAAGGACACTGTTCAGGAACTAGTTGATGCTCTGTATGTGATGACTACTTCCATTCTGGAGAGGATCACAAATACATGGATCCTGAGATTGAAGCTCAAGCCGGGGACCAGGGAGATGATTCTAACACATTGTTAAGACTTGGTGATGACCTGCTGACCTGCTGATCTGCAGGTTTCACCCAGCATGAGCGCTGAGGAGCTGACCAATCAGGTGCTGTTCATGAGGAACGTCCCCCCTGCAGAGAGAGACGTCTGGATGACCTTCGAGGTGCTGGAGGACGGACAGCTGGGTGAGGAGCTGTCATCATGTCATAATGAGAATGTGCTCATATGATAACAATAATAATAATAATAATAATGATAATAATAATAATAATAATGTACGAGCCGGTCATTAATCATCTATGGTGAGTTCAGGGTGCGTGGGAAATTTACCTTACAGGTGTTGTGTGAGGGTGTATGGTGAGTTCAGGGTGCGTGGGACATTTACCTGACAGGTGTTGTGTTGCAGAACGGCCTCTGCTCCCCAGACAGAAAGTTCTGGAAGAAGCTTTGCAGTGGTGCAAGATGGCCGACCCGAGCTCAGCACACCTGGTGGTGAAGAAAGTTCCTAAAACAGACATCCTCACCAGTAGGTACACACACACACGCACGCACGCACGCACGCACGCACGCACGCACACACACACACACACACACACACACACACCCACCCCTCAGCGTTACTTCCTGTCTCTCAGCCTATCACAGCGACATCATGAAGGTGGGTCTGCTGAGGTGTCGTGAGGAACCTCCGAAGCTCCTGCAGGGGAACAAGTTCCAGGAGAGAACGTTCCAGATCAGGGAGAACAAACTGCTGTTGCTCAAAGACAAGAAGGTACTGTGTGTGTGTGTGTGTGTGTGTGTGTGTGTGTGTGTGTGTGTGTGTGTGTGTGTGTGTGTGTGTGTGTGTGTGTGTGTGTGTGTGTGTGTGTGTGTGTGTGTGTGTGTGTGTGCACTGTCTCCTGACAGTGTGTGTTTTTGTTCAGAGCATCAAACCAGAGAAGGAATGGTCTCTGAAGAACATGAAGATCTACATCGGCATCCGCAGGAAACTGAAGGCTCCGAGCAGGTAGAACAAACACACACACACACACACACACACACACACACACACACACACACACACACACACACACACACACACACACACACACACACACACACACACACACACACACACACACACACACACAGGGAATATTCATCTCCAATTAAAACTATCTTAGTTCAACAAAGACACAGCAAAGAGTTTTGATTTGCCCATTACTTGTATTTCATCTTAAATCTTCTTTCAAACATCTGATCCGTTTCTTCAGATGTTATTCTTTTGTTACGACCCAACAAAAGAATAACATAATAACAAAAGTTAGAGCTGGGGCGAAAACTTAAATTTTTTAACGTTATTGGTGTAATTTGTTATGCTTTTTGTTGTACGTGCAATGTGTTGGAGCGCTAGCCAATAGGAGCGTGAGTATAGTGATGTCACAAAGGAATCTAATGGAGGGAACACAGGGATTGGAGTCTTTGCAGACAGTTTCCATGCACTTACACTACAGGAGAGGGAGCACCACAGAAGAAGAAAAGGGCCTCAAATAATGACTTATGGACTTTAAAGCGCTTAGGAGTCATACAGTACAACACCAATAATATTAGCATGGCTTCATCTTGTTCTGATATATCTTCTGCAGGTGGGGGTTCACCGTGATGTCGGACAAACACCAGCTGTAAGTATGAATCTTCTCGTTGTGATGGAGAATTAAAGGGCAAAAGAAAGACATTATGAAAGACATGCAAATACAATAAAGAGACAGGCGCTTCAAATGGAAAGGCAGGTACAAGTCTTCAGCCCTGATTTAAATAAAATAATTAGTTGCACATGTTTGGAGCATAAAACGTGCTTAGTTTAGATTCTGAGGATAGATAAACAGCTTAAATAAAAGTACTAATATTACAGTGTAGAAATACTAATAGAGTACTGCATTGGCTATACTATTGTATTCAAATGATTGATGCCTAGTGTGAAACATCTGATCACATGACAGGTTTTAAGCGATCTCGGTTTAATAGAGTGGCGAAGTCCCTCCCCTTCCGGTGGACCTCCATGGGACCTTATTTCGGAAAAATTATGTATTGAAGTCAATGGAGAGAGAAAGATTATCTTTCGATCCCGTTTGAATTGTGCCACGAATTACACATATGATGTTTGTCAATTTAAAAGATAATTTTGCAAGTCAAAAAAAAAAAAATGTGTCGTAAAACTGTGAAGTAACACATTTGTTTGTGTGAAACGCTCAAAGAACTACATCTGATCTCTGGTCAACAACACACGTCACCAAGATGGCCGTCACTACTGTCTTGTCAACACAAGAGACTACCCTCACTATCACTACAATGAAACACGTCCTGAAGAAAGTCATGCAAAGCTGCCTGCCTTCCTTTGATTCTCTCTGAACTGCCTGGTCGTTTTAATGTTTAATGTCAACCATTTGTGCAGATAGCATGAAGTAGAGAAGATCGCTAGCGTTAGCGTTAGCATTTCTCCCCCGGGCTTAAATTGTGTATTATAGAATGATCACACCGGTGACAGTACTATTCAAAGGGTTCACGAAATATGACTACTACTCTTACTGTTTAACATTTTGGGTTACTTAATGTTACTTCATGTTAAGGCTAATAAAAATGACAAGGCTGTAATGCTAACTAACGTGCTAGCTACTAGCTAGGTAGCTAACTTGATCCACACACTCCTCTTTCATCAGACGGGAAGCGAAAGAACGAGCAAGACCCATTGCTGGTATAATAACAACCTGGTACTAAGCACACAGGCACAAAGTTATCTTATCTTAGCCAGCGCCATATAGATAGATTCTATCTATATGGCGCTGATCGTATATATACGGTATTATACGTGTATCGTAGTGTCTCAATTGTGACATCACTTACGCGACTCTGGGATTTGTAGTCTTTCTAGTTTCGTATTTTTCAAAGTCTTATATTTCAACAGTTTTAAGACAAACTGTGACTTTTTTGACATGGAAATGATTTTTTAAGATTGACAAACATCATATGTGTAATTCATGGCACAATTCAAACGGGATCGAAAGATAAGTTTTCTCTCCCCATTGACTTCAATGCATAATTTTTCCGAAATAAGGTCCCATACCCCGGAAGTAAGTGGGAGGGACTTCGCCACTCTATTGAAATTCAGCCTCGCACTGTGTATACACCGGGTTTAAGGAAGTATTAATACACGAGAATATTGCAATATTCTGTATTTTATCAATTCCATCACAAACACTATATCTATGAGATACTGAGATAGGGTCCCCCTGATCTGAGGAGAAGGGAAGCACTGTATGCAGATGATGGTCTGTTCTTCATACCAGACACTTTTCCTAATAGTAGAGTTAAGAAATGACAATATATTACCATCGTTACAGAATCAGAATATATATTATCTATACGTATTGTATCCTCAGATTCTCGCCAAATCACCTGATGTAGCCCCGGCCCTTTTCCCACTTCCTGTTCAAACACTCGAAAACTGCAGGATGACATATGACAATAAAACCTACCGACCGACCGACCGACCGACCGACCGACCGACCGACCGACCTACCTACCCTCCCTCCCACCACGCGTAATAAATCAATAACGTTTTCTCTCTCAGGTTCCTGTGTTGTACCTGCGAGGCTGAACTCTGGGACTGGATCAGCAGCTTCCTCAAAGCTCAGGTCAGTATATAGTATTGTAGAGCAGATGTATGGGAGTCGGAGGCGGTGTGTTTCATATGGAACTCCACCATTTATTTTCCATTTAACCACACACAAGAACGTACTCGCTGCATGCTACTTCGAAGCTGGAATGACAACAACAGGAAACCGGAACACCAAGGTGCCACCTACTAACCAGTCCGTGGAGCAACACTATATCGTGTTCCCCACCCACAACAAAACAACGGTGAATTATGTCCCTTAATGCTCCGCCACACAAGCCCCCCCATAATTCACCCATACACAAAATCCGTGTGGCGGGGAGGAACGACAGGCCGACCACCGTGACTCCGAAGAGCAGGAGCCTCAGAGGCGACCCCTGCAGGGGCGATCGATGGGAGCGGTGGGACCGGAACCGCACGCCCCAGGTCGCTGATAGGGGTCGAGGCTGGGGGGCGGCCCCATCGCGAAGGTCGAGCCAGCACCACCGGCTGGTCCAAGTCCAGGTGAGCAGCCTTCACCCGGTCCACCGAGACGTGCTCGGCCCTGCCACCCAGGTCCACCACCAAGTGCTTGCCCCCGTGTACCAAGACTCTGAAAGGCCCGTCGTAAGGGGGCTGCAGGGGGCCTCTGGGGATCGGAGCAAAGGCCTTAGCGGCGTCCTGCAGGAAAGCGTGCTTGGTGGTCGCCGACCAGGGGGCCGATGTGTTGGGGAGATAATCCCCTGGAACCTGCAGCGGCTGACCGTAGACCATCTCAGCCGTGGAGCACTGCAGATTCTCCTTAGGTGCGGTCCTAATGCCCAGCATAACCCAAGGCAGCTTGTCGATCCAATTACTGTCTGCTAGGCTTGCCCTGAGGACCGCCTTCATGGAGCGATGGAAACGCTCGCAGAGGCAGTTGGCCTGAGGCTGATAAGCGGTTGTCCGGTGGAGCTTAACCCCCATTTCCCTGGCCACGGCGTTTCATAGCTCGGACGTGAACTGCGAACCATGTCCGATGGGGTGCCAAAATGACACACCCATGTTGCAATGAAGGCCCTGGCTATGTCAGCCGCGGCTGTCGAAGCGAGTGGGATCGCCTCCGGCCAGCGGGTCGTCCTGTCCACCATAGTTAGGAGGTAGGTGAAAGCATGAGAGGAGGGTAATGGGCCAACCAGATTGATGTTGACATGGTCAAACCTCCTCTCAGGCACGAGGAATTGCTCCAGGGGGGCCTTGGTGTGGCGGTGCACCATAGCACGCTGGCAAGCCACGCACGTGCCAGCCGATGTCCTCACGTCCTTCTTGAGCCCCCGCCAGAAGAACTTCGTGGCCACCATCCGCACCGAAGGCTTCCCGATGGGGTGCACCGCCTCGAACACGGAGCGCATCCAGCTGGCGGGAACGACTGGACAGCGTCACACAGGAGAGTAACACAAGAACGTACTAGCTGCATGCTACTGCAAATCAGGAATGACAACAACAGGAAACCGGAACACCAAGGTGCCGTCCACTAACTGGTCCGTGGGGCAACACTATATCGTGTTCCCCACCCACAACAATACAACTGTGAATGATGTCCCTTAATGTTCCGCCATAGTATATATAATATATAGTATATCTAAAGTGCAGTTTGTATATAGAGCTGCGGGAGTCACTGAGTTGTTGTTAATGCTAGCTTCCTGCTGACTCAGCATGTGTTGGTGACTCTGCAGAGCGATGACTCGGCGCCCCCGGTGCTGAGGCGTCACTCCTCCTCAGATATCTCGCGGCAGAAGTTCGGCACGATGCCGCTCGTCCCGATCCGAGGACACGAGAGCAACAGCAGCATGCTGTCGGCCAATCAGACGCTGGTAAGAGCCTGCACCATTTTTAATATTCCCAAACTTCACAGTGAGAATTCACAGGGAGAGTTAAACAACAACGGTGTATCTCTTCACAGTGAAATAAGAAGAAGAGTTATCTAGAATAATTCACTTTTTATATCTTCTTCTTTCTGCAGAGGAAGCTACACGACAGACGGACGCTCTCCATGTACTTTGTGAGTATTTTACATTTAGGGAGTATTTCCTGTGGAGGAAAATAAATGCTGCATTATTGGTGTATATGTTGTTATACTGTACATATACTGTATATATACTGTACATAAACTGTATATATACTGTACATAAACTGTATATATACTGTACATATACTGTACATATACTGTATATATACTGTATATGTATTCATATTTATGATAAAATCTCTCGGCTGATTTTGATGCATTTGGGCTGGATGTGGAAGACTTAGGGGACTCTGGATCATCTGGACAGACTGCCTCTCTATTTGTAAATCAGGTGTCCCCAGTAGAGGTAATGATGTCCACCTGGTGCTCTCTGTGTCCAATGGTCTCAGCACTGCTCAGTCCACAGAGAGGACACATCTGTCCTCTTTCTGGTTAGAACTGACATTTATGATCCTGGAGATGTCAGAAATGGATTGAGGATCCTCATTAACCTCCAGAACCACTCCTGAACTGTACTATTGTCCCCATAGACTATAATGCCATCCCCAGTATGAATGCCTTCTCTGTGTGTCCCTGTTTCCCTGCAGCCCATGAAGGTGCAGAAGGATGCGTTTGAGGAGCGTCTGGAGTCCCCGCCGCTCCCCGAGCCTCTGTACGAGGAGGTGGGGGACTTCGGCCTGCAGGTGCTCCAGTCTCTGCAGACCAGCTTCCTGTCGGGGGGGGCCTCCGAGACACAGGAGGTGCCCGATCCCCCCCCGCTCAGACTGCTTCCAGAGGACCCCCCCTCCGAGGACCCCCCCTCCGAGGACCCCCCCTCTGAGGACCCCCAATCTGAGGACCCCCTGCAGAGCGTAGGCTGCACCCTGTCTCAGGAGCTGCTGCTGAAGGAGCTTTCCTCCGCCTTCATCAAGAAGACCAGAGAGGAGGAGGAGGAGGAGGAGGAGGAAGAGGAGGAAGAGGAGGAGGAGGAGGAGGAGGAAGAGGAGAGGCCGTATGATGTGTGAGAGGACGAGCTTCCATCACAGCTCAGAGAGTGTGACGGTCGGTTCAGGCCGGACTGCAGGACAGAGAGGGACAGATATCCAGGGTTAAACCAAAGATGTTATTTAATGAAGAGTGAAACTTTATCAGAAGCTGTTTCCAGCTGGAAGGACAGAGGACCAATGCTACAGACATCTGACCCCGGGTAAAACAAGAGACCAGACTCCTATGGGGAATCATTTCCTGACAGAGAGGCCTTCTGTTGAACGCTAGAGAACAGAAGGAGCTGTTCAATAGAGCAGTGAAGAAGCCTCAAGCCATAGGAGCCCACTCAAAGACCCTCAAAGGACCCTTAAAGGACTCTTAAAGGACACTATTATACTCTTTATCATCATTATATCACAGGTCTCAGATATATCCAGAGCCTGTCTCTGATTGGCTGAAACCCCAAACAGATCATTGCAGCATCCCACAATCCCCTCTGTTTCAGCCCTGTTTCCTGTTACTTTAAATGCTAATGAGCTGCTGCTGGCCACGCCCCCTGAGAGATGATTGGTTTAAAAGAACACAATGGTGCTCTAGGAGGAGATTCAGGTGATAAGAGGGGGGGGTTACCTTGGTTGGTGATTGGCTAATGGTTACACAAGCCAAGAAACATTGTGACATCACTAAGTGGCCATTATCACGTTGTATTATCTCTGCCTTCTTTTAGAGCAAACAGCTCAGTGTCGTCTTTAACGGCCACATATTGTATTTTCCTCTGAGTATAAATATATAAATATACATGTATATTAGGGCTGTCAGTTGATTAAAATATTTAATCGCGATTAATCGCATGATTGTCCATAGTTAATCGCGATTAATCGCAAATTAATCGCACATTTTTTATCTGTTCTAAATGTACCTTAGAGGGATATTTTTCAAGTTTTTAATACTCTTATCAATATATGAGTGGACAAATATGCTTTATATGTTTGTTTAATATCATTTAAACAATGACAAATATTCTCATGAATATTAAACACAACAACCTGGAACCTCTCATACAATAATACAGTGTGTGTGTGTGTGTGTGTGTGTGTGTGTGTGTGTGTGTGTGTGTGTGTGTGTGTGTGTGTGTGTGTGTGTGTGTGTGTGTGTGTGTGTGTGTGTGTGTGTGTGTGTGTGTGTGGCTCAAGGCATATGCTTGAATGGGAGCTGCCTGGACGCTGCAATCATGTTGCGCGCACTATCCGTGCTGAGTGTGCTGACTTTTCGTACAATGTCCCACTGTCTGGCTACCTGCATAAAGTCAAGTGCTCGGCGCAGTTGTCGGCGAAATGTCGCTCCTCTGTTTTCATTGAAACAGCTCCTTATATCCGTTAGCGCAGCTAGCTAGCACCAGATGCTAACAACAACAACAACACGTAAGGTGTGCCTCGCTCGCGCCACACATACACACACCTTAGCGGTCCTCCCGATGGCCAGTCCGGGCCTGCCGGTGAGCGTGGAAGTGTGGTCTGCCACAAGCGGGCGGCAGGAGCGGGGCTGTCAGCATCAGCTTGTAGATGGTATTTTAAACTCGATGCGCTCTGAAACTACGGGGCGGCCGAGGACAAAAAATACACATGCGTTAATCGCGTTAAAATAATTAGTGGCGTTATTAACGCGTTAACTTGACAGCCCTAATGTATATATAATGTACTGTAAGGAGCGTCTCTGCACATTTACACTGCTAGCACCCAACCCACTTCTACTCTCTCCTGTTGAAATCTGGTGCCTACCTTACCCACAATGCACCTCCTGTGAGGAGTTAGAAAACCTGTTGTTCGGCTGCCGCTAAAGTTAGCTGATAACTGTTGGACATGAGGAGACAAACGGATGGAAACAATAAATGAAACTGTTCAAATCAGAGTTTCTTAAGTGCAGTTTGTTGGACCTAAGATAAAGGGGCTGCAAGCTAAAGGCTAACGTTAGCTTCTCTGATAGCTTCAGATCCAGACCTTCAGGAGCTTAAAGGCCCTGACACACCAGGCAGTCACCAGAGAACTCGCCGACACCCGACACCGACAGTTCCATCGACGAGTTCTCCTGCGTCTTGGCCATGTGTCGCACTGGAACACACCGCAAAGACTTCAGCCGAGCACGTACGAACTGCGCATGCGTGAGTGGCAATAACTCTCCTTACCAGCAGGCGGCGGTAGTGTGTATTCGTCATTCAAAATAGGCAACAACCGGAAGACAGAGAAGAAGAACAGACTGATCTAAACAAACAAATAGCGTGTGCGTTCCATTTTCACTCTCGTCCATCGAAAACATGTTTTAGAATATAAAAATACATGAATGATGAAATGAGCACATAAAGTGCAGACATACTATAAAATCACAGTTAATAGACCTGCATCTGATGATCGCAGTGTTCTGGCGGGTGTGTAGTTTATTGAGTCAGCAATGTAGTAATGTATGTAATGTAATAATGGCCACTTCTTGCTAAATTTACATTTCCATGTGATGCTTTTATCCGAGGCGACTCACAATAGGTAAATGAACAGCAGTAGACAGTATCTCATTTACTTAGACACTGTACTTAAGGACAATGTTGAGGTACTTGAGAATAATCCTGCAACTTTATACTGACAAATAGACCGATGAGATGAAAAACCGGACTTGACCAAACAAATGCTGAGCTCTCAGCAGAGGACAGCCGGGGACGCTCCCGCCAATATCAGAGATGTCCCTGCTATGTGTGGGAGGTAAGAGAGGACATTTAAGGGCTATGTTTGATGTCTTTTAAGACCTGCTGGGGTTTAGCTGCTGTCCTGTGCCTTTTTAAATCGTTTGTTTACGTCCCTCACTTCCGTTTCGCTTCTCATTTGCTAGCTGAACAGCTGATCAGAGTGGTTTCTTGGCCCGATAGCTTGTGTCCGTATTTTGGCCGATTCAACATGTTGAATCGGCCATGTGTCGACCGTGAAAGGTCAAATAAGGCGTGTCACGGCCGAGGGTTCGGGACACACCAAATTGACTTTGGGCGACAAGGAACGCGTTGTTGCCAGACAACCAAAGACGGCCGAATACGGCCTGGTGTGTCAGGGCCTTTAGAGAACAGTTATTTACAGATGGCTCCTTTTCTCCAAAACGAAATGGTGATTATTAAAGCAGTTTCATGTTAACATCAGGGTTTCCCCAGTGGACTGTGGACAGAAGGGCTAGGAGCTAAATGCTAACGTTAGCTCAGCTCTCTGATAGCTTCAGATCCAGACGTCCCGTCACAAATCCTTCTGCAGTTAAAAGAGCCAACATATACAAAGTGTACGGTAGAAATGTGGCTTCAAAGTGGACGAAGAGTGAAATGTTGTGTATCTGTCTCGGAATCAGTGTCTGGGGACTTTGTCCTGGCTGGTTTCCTCTGTGTATGCTGCTCGGGACGTATGTGCCATACAAGCGTACACAGCTCATGTTCGGAGAAACCTTAAAGAAAGGCATCAGTAAAGTGGAACTTCTGTGTGAACTATTCACATCTTAAACTGCACTGTAACTTTTTATTCATGTACTTTTTATTCATGTACTTTTTCTTTTAATGTTTCTTTTATTATCTTTTATTTTTAATGACTGTTTTTAAATGCCTTTTTCTGAATGTCTTTCATTTTTGTAAAGCACCTTGAATTGCCTTGTGTTGAAAGGTGCTATCGCCTCGCCTCGCCTCGCCTATCTGTAAACAGGTGCATATGATCAGGTGAAACCCTGAAGGTCTTCCTCTCCTGTACGATGAAGCCGTGTGAGATCACATGTGTAACGTGGAGCTGCTGATGTGTGGATGAACACGGATTAACGCTGACACACAGTTCATATATTCATGTTTCTTTAACCACACTGTGCAGAGTATTACCTGAGAGACATCACAGCCTCTTTATATGTTAACTTATTTTATAAAACCAGAACCATGAGCTTCCTGTGCACTTCCTGTTCAGACACCAGCAGAGTATAAACGGCAGAGGTGGGAGTAAGTCCTACATGTGCAAGTCATGAGCAAGTCTCAAGTCTTGACCTACAAGTATCAAGCAAGTCCCAAGTCACTGTGGTGAGAGTCAAGCAAGTCAAGTCAAGTCATTGCTCAGGTCAAGTCAAGTCAAGTCATACAAAATTCTGATGAATAAGCCCAGTTTCCGCATTTAAATCAGTTAAAAGACAGTGGTTATGAAAATGGATTTAACCCACACTATGATCTTCATTACATACACAGTTAATCATTTGAAATCTAATTTAGACCGATGACAATCATATTAGATTCATATTAACCCTAGAACTGCAGACAATATAGCTAGGACTCAAAAAGTCTGTTCAAAAAGGCAGAATTCCAGGTAAGAAAATCATATATGGCATTTGCCATTACACATATTTAATTTAAATGTCTGTTAACACTAGAACCGCCAACAGCGTCAGCACCTACATAGATATCATATTCAAATCATTTAATTTGTTCCTCTTCATAATTTCCTTATAAACTAAGTAGGACGATTTAAAACTCACTTAATTGGGTTAATTTAGAAATTGCTTCAGTTTATCATCATAACAGATCAAAAAGTTCAGATTCATTTTACAATAAATCAAGGAATGATGCACTTCTACAAACAAACACAACATAATTAAAACATTTAAACAAACTACTAAAAGTAGATGAACTACATTATTCAACAGTTTACAGTAACTTCTGATAATAACACAGGGGAAATAAACGAGGCATCTCTTTTCCCCTCTCTCTCTCCCTCTCCTGACAGCCCGTCAGTATCAGGGTTAGTCAAAATGAATCCCTTGGCGGTTCTAGTGTTCATTTACCGTTTTCTCTTCTCTTTGTAATGCTTAATCGATTTGAAACCAAGTCTAACGTAGCTTAAACTTAACGTTAGCTTTCTAGCTAACACAACACATTCACGCACCTTTCTCTGGGTTTTTTTGTAGTGACGAATGAAGTTGGATGTTGTGGTGGTCGTGTCACTGATCTTTATGCTGCAGACCCTGCATACCGCTGTTCTCTTCTTATTAGCGTCATCGACAACATAATCCTTGAATCCAAACTTCACTATTTTTGGAGTAACGCTAGCCGCTGCCATGTTAACTGACGCTCCTGCCGTCTAGTGGGTTGCCAGGTTTGCGCGCACAGCGCTATAATCACCCAATCACGTTTTTTTTCGAAAAAACTAAACGTAATATCTCACTACAAAAACAAACGCAAATATTTAATTTTAAACAGACAAGTCCTTTCAAGTCATCTGTCTCAAGCTTAAGTAAAGTCTCAAGTCATGAATACCAAGTCAAACTCAAGTCAAGTCTTTTATCAATGTTAGTCAAGCAAGTCTCAAGTCCTAAAATATGCGACTCGAGTCTGACTCGAGTCAAGTCACGTGACTCGAGTCCCCACCTCTGATAAACGGGAGTATACCCCCGAACCCCCCTAGCATGTTTGGACCTCTGTATTTAGGAAATCCTGGATAAGGCCCTGCTTGTCAATATAAAACTTTACGCTTTATATTTTCAATGTATTTACAATCCGCAAACAGTACCAGCTAACTCTTTCATTTTTATATAATGACTTTATAAAAATTATATATATATACTACTACTTTTTTTACCATGGTGTAATGATCTGTTATTTTACTTATTGTGTTTTTTATTATTAATACTTAGTATTTTTTAATGTGAAGTCTTTTGTCTTTACTTTATCTGCTGCAGTAATAATGTAGATGACTCTTGTTTTTACATTACATGTTACTTGTTAGATGCTTTTATCCAAAGCGACTTACATACTCAATACTGTGGGCAATCCCCACAGGAGCAGTTTTTGGGGTGAAGTGTCTCAGAGACACAACGACATGCTGACTGCACTCGGATTTGAACCTGTGACCCCCTGATCCCAACACCAAGGCTCTATCCACTGCGCCACAATTATTCTTATTTAATTATATGTATACTTCCTTTATTTTATTTTAAATGTGTTTTACATTGTTTGTATTAGGAATTATATTCTAAATAAATTGTATGCGATTGTTTATTTTATTCTATACTTTTTATCATAATTATTTATATTCTTTATATCATATTATTGTATTATCACAGTCCCCTCCCCCACCAGCAGGCGGCGGTACAGTCCACGTGTTAAAAAACGAAGAAGAAGAGCCTCAATTAGATTCTCTCGGCAAACAGCTATTATCTCCACTTCAGGCGGGTTATCGTCTCTAAAACTACATTATTCTCCTCTAAACTTTTGACTTGTGACTTCGTTTCTTCACGAACACACTGCGGACATATCTCTCCAGATCCCCGGGTTTATTTCCAGGTTAGAATAAGCTTTATTTCTGTCCGTCGTTAGCTGCATGCTAACTGTTTTGATGCTAAAGCTGTCATGGTTACATCTGTATTAAAACTACACATAAGATGAGATATCCTCTATTCATCCTTGATTATAGACTACAACAAACCACGTGTTTCACAACTCTTTAATCTCTATATTTCAGGTGTTTAAAAGGTATATTCACGTCCTTTGTGTGTCTTACTTTCGTGTTTCCAGGTATTTTCCCTCAAACTGTTTCTGCAGCTCTTAACATTACATTTAATAAACAATAAGGCATTACATTGTGTTAAATATGATTCTATTTAAGCAATAGCTCACGACAGGCTTCGCGTCGGGCCGAATCACGCCCCTTAGCTGTGATATAATGAGCATATATCACGGTCTGATGTGAGCTATTGCTTTTATAAAACGGTTACCAAGTGTGGCAATATGGAAAAAAAATACACACTCTAATTTAAATAGTTTTTATTAGTAAATAATGATGTTCAAAATAAAAATAGTCCCTCCGTTGCCTTCTGCACGAAACAGTGCGAGGTGGTTGCTAGGCAACAAAACTAACAGCTAGCGGACATATTAGACAGAGAGCGTTGATCCATTATTTGGCTATTTATTTACATTAATGTGTATGTTGCCGTTTATTGTGCAGCCACTGAAAACCTGTCCAGCATCAGTAGCATGGCTTACGTGGTTACTTGTATAGGCTGAGGTTGTTCTAGGCTGTTGCTTGGCGTGGCGAGAATATTGCTCCACTTTCTCCGGTCCCCGAGATTCGGCTTCCAGTAGCTCTGGAGAGAGCTTTCGCACCTGTGGCCACTAACGGTCATCATTTCTCTGCTTTGTTTCAAGACCCGCATCCAGTGGCGGCTCCAGAGTAGTTTTGTTGGGTAATCTATGGTAGGGCTAACCCATACAGTGGTGGGGCTCAAGTCAGTATTTGCAATGTAGTTACATACACACTATATCGCCCCATTGACAGTGAAACGCCACGCGTGAGGTTTAGATTATTTCCCTGTCTCAATTCAAATGGAACTGTATGAAATAAAACGGCACATTTGTCTTGTAGTAAATAAAAAGGGCGACCTGGAGCCAATCCTGCAATTTCCCCACAGTTGAACAAGTTGACATGCTGAAAACCCGACCCCTGCAGGGGGGTCTGGGGGATTCTTCCCCTGGAGATTTTTTGAAATACTAACATAAAATACACATTCTGGTACTCTCTTGCTTATATATCGGACTATTGTGACTCGCTCTGCGGTTAAAACAGACGGTGCATGAATGCGGTTTTGCGGTAAGTGAAATTCGAGTACTTTATTTATGTGTTTATGATTTTAATCAGCTACGTAATGAATGTGTTAGCGTGTAAGCGAGTGGTAGCTACATCGGTGCTAACGATGCTATTCGTAGCCTCCAAGTTAAAACCATAGACCGTATATATAAAGGTTAAAACGAAATAGACAAGTGTTAAGCGTTAAGTGGGATAATACTGTAGAACAAACGGCTTCTGTTTGAGGTTGATAAAATAAGGTCATCCTTGTAACTTAGAGAGATATTTTATTATGTAGGTAGGAACTTTATGCATCGCTAAGGTTCATTTAAATTGGCTATGCTCGAGTATGTAGACAAGCTAACGTCGAAGTAGTGTATGTGAAATCAACCTCACAATAAGATGTGTGTATATTACAATTATTAATGTCATATTTCAAGATGATTACTTCGATATTACAATATGGTTGGTTGAGCTAGAGTTCATTATTGAGCTTACACGTTAACGTCACAGTCATCTGAAGAACGAACCCAAACCTTGTTGTTTTTATTAATTGCATTACCAAATTGGTATCAAATAAATAGTAAGCATTGGTAACACAACTTCCAAAGTTACAGTAAAATAAAAAGGACCCTGACTCGGAAAATACACAATCCAACATGTTCAACAGAAGAGAATAAGTTATATTGTTTGTACACATGGTACTTTACATATATATCTGTTTGTTTAAAGTGTCCAGGTGATGCAGACAGGCTGGACCAGAGAGTGAGAGACAGAACTGGACTCCTCACAGCAGTGAACTTCAGCACAGGTACAAAGACTCTTTTTTCATACTGTACAAAGAATCAAGAAAGATATTGGTTTAAATAAATGAAGTATTGACTTTAATACACTGATATACATTCCATTAAACAATACTAGATCACCTACACATCAGTGAAGTTGAGGGTTTTTTCCATGCAAAATGTTACATTTAGATGTTAACAAGCAATATGACTTGTCAGCTTTCTAATTTAATGTATTGAAAGCAAAGCTATTTAACACATAGTGAGAACTGCTACTATTTATCTCTCAATATTGTCTGTAAAAAACGTGGTAAAAGTGATTCTTTCAGTGAGACAACGGAGCAAGCTTCTACAGTTGCACTACGTTTTGATAACAGTTCAATATTATTTTGATAATAAAATATATTTCAATGTTGATGAATTTAATACTGTTCATTCATAATCTGATTGTCTTTGTAGCTCAACATATAAAATAATTATATCTACAGCCCCTAAACACACAAACACACCGCTTTCATAAATAACACAATAATAATGTTTTATGTTTCCTGTAATTTTTGTTAGGAAAGGACATGCCTGAAAGACACGACTCAACATTTTCTCCTTCTCTGAGGGTCAAGAAAAACATCCAAGAGGAAAATTAAAAGCTGATGTTATGAGATTTTAAGATCAGTACAGGACATTCACTAAGAAACTACTTTTATTGTGAAAACACAGTCAGCTGATCGAATGCACCTATTTCCACATCTACACTCCATCAGCTGATTATTTCTATTTGCCTCACTTTATGAGCTTCACAACATGTACCTTGTACCGCAGAGTTTGCAACGTCACAAATAAATGGGGCCAATCTTCAGTCGGATGTGAATGTTTAATCTAACATTTTCAGTAAGAATAATGGACAAAAGGAGTGCAAATACAAATACAATTTATTGAAATGTGAACCAAAAGTTAATCAAACATGTTTTAAATAAAAAAGCACATATGGACAGAAGGTGTAAACCTATTAAATGTATAAGTAAACACATTTAGTCAAATAAAGTGACAGACAAGGCCTGTGCAGTTGGTATCAGCTATGCCCAGCATAGGCTCCTCCATCAGGCCTGGTCCTCCTCGCAGAGGAAAGACCCTCAGTCCTCTCCGGCCAAACCAACAGACAGGACGTCCATCACACGGAGGTTTCTCTCTGAAGTCTCTGCAGCTCTCTGGACACCACGCTCTCTCAATTCGTCCACACTCTACACTGAATATGAGAGGGGAAAAATGAAAATAATAAATGCTTTAGACAATAAGAAATATAAAGTTGACTGTTGAGTTGCTCAGCTTTTTTAGATTGTCAATACTATTACTGTATAACTAATATCTCAGGTTAAGAGGCACATTCAAATAAAGATTGGTCTTTAAATACATTTTGTCTTTTGAATTGTTTGTCTAAAGTCAAGGATCTAGAACTGGTACTTGTAGTTTTAATGATACAGTCTGGTTATAATGCTGTTTGGAGGAGGCCTCACAGGTAAGAGCACTAACTAGCTACCATCACATTAGCTTAGCTTAACTTAAATGTATTAAACGTATAATTAAGTGATGGCAAAATATAAACAACTAATGTCATGCAAACATATATTATATTGATTATATTTGCTTGATTCCAGTGTTGCATTTAGCACATTGCATACAAACGTTAAGGGATTTTAAGATTCTGAAGTATTATGCTAAAAACTCAATAACTTAGATTATTATTTATAGTTTTACTGAATAGTTTCATGTCCGCTTACCTTAGAAACGTAAAATGTGACTGCAGTGTGCAGATGGGGAGCATGTTAGCTTAGCTTCTTAGCTTGAGCTAGCTCTGTTACTTCCAGCTCGGAGGCAGCAGGTCCCGCCTCGGCTCCGCCTCTTTGCCCTTATTTGGAGCAGGCGGGAGTTAGACTGACGTCACTGTCGAGCCATTAGTGGCCGACTCCGCCTACTAAGGGCTTCTCGGCAACTCTGCAGAATCCTATGGGTGACGTCACGGACCCTACGTCCATTTATATATACAGTCTATGGTTTACACACACAGGTGTTTGTAAACATTCATTCACTACTACTTACACACACACTCTCTCTCTCACACACAGAAACACACACACACACACACACACACACACACACACACACACACACACTCCCACTCACACTCTTCATACTACTTACATCTGATATTTAACTCCTTCAGCCTAATTTCAGCTGCAGAAACCATTCAAATATCAAACTATTCAGCCTTTTCAGCACATGATGGGAAACTTTCAACTTTTTCAAAATATGTTATACTTTTTAAAACATTCAGCTTTTTAAAGTCTTTTTTTAACATGGAAGTCATTGCAATGCATTTGAGCTGTAACAATTTGATTCAAATCATTTCACTTTTCTGCATTTCTCCGCTAAGTTCAGCAACACACTGAATTGGTCTCTGTAGCTAAAAGCAGCTACCATTCAGCTAATAAAATATTCAGCTTTTTCTGTATTTTCATCTAAATTCAGCCCCAAATGTTCACAGTTTACAGCATTCGCACGCATTTTCTGCAGGAAATGCATTTTCTAGTTATGGCTGTAGCCTACCCCAGCCATACCCTGGAGCCGCCACTGCCCTCATCAGAAAGCTTTTGAATGGTGGTACTTTTCCAGTTGGTCTACCCAGGGCCGGCTCTAGACCATTTGCAGCCCTAGGCGAGATTTTAGCTGGCGCCATATATTGATATAAAAATAGTATATAAAGTGCATTAAAAGTGTGTGTATGTGTGAGAATGGTTACATTACATTTTAATAATCAAATAAGTATGTGAACATAACCAATCACCTACCATGGCCAATAACAAATACATGTAACTTATTTTATTTTTGTTGTTCTTTCATATCTTATTTTACCAGTTAACATTTATTTATTTATGCAATTGTTTTTATCTCTCCAGTTTTAAACGATATGTCTGGTTTACTGTCCTATAGCAGGGATGCAAACTTGTCACCTTTCGGCGAAATTCGCCGTTTTGAATCCAAAATAGGTCGTTTGTGTGATTCATGTAGATCTGCAATAAAAATAGCTGTTATGTGCCATCATGACACACATGGTGTTCTTTTTGTATATATTATAATGAAGCGCGAGCTGTGTGCTCGAGTCTTCCTGCCTGTCGGCTCTGCTCATGGATGTATAATAAGGCTCTGCTGCTCCGCGATGAGGGTCTAGCTTCAGCAGCTACATTACCTACGTGCGTTCGTTAATATTAACTGTGCGGTCCGGAGTCACTGTGGCACAGACTGGACCGCTGGTGAACAGCTGTTAGAACGGGCCGTTCAGGTGTTCAGAGCAGAGCTCCCTGTCGGAGCGGCAGAGCGTGATGTGCACTGAAAAGTTTTTTTGTCGCAATATTATTTAAGGAATCGTTGAGCTAGCTAACTAGCATACAATGTCACTATCTGCTAACGTTAGCTTTAGCCTTAGTTTTCTAATAGTTTTTTTCATAGGCTATAAACGGAGGTGGTATAAGTATAGATCTTGTACTAGAGTAAAAGTAGAAGCACTCAGATCTTGTACTTGATTAAAAGTAGAAGTACTCAGATCTTGTACTTGAGTAAAAGTAGAAGTTACAGTAAAAGTCATGCATTCAAAATGTTCCTCAAGTAAAAGTAGAAAAGTATTATCATCAAAATATAGTGAAAGTAGCGACAGTAAAAGTAGTCATTGTGCAGATTGGTCCATTTCAGAATAATATATATGATATGTTTTATAATGATTGATCATTAAAGTGTTCTCAAAGCTGGTAAAGGTGCAGCTAGTTTGAATGACTTTGTATACTGCAGGGTAGCTTGAGAATTTACTCCAGGTGGAACTAAAGTCTGATTTAACACTTGATTATATTTCACATCATTCATCCACATCTGTAAAGTAACTAAAGGTATTAAATACATGTAGTGGAGTAGAAGTACACCATTTACCTCTGAACTGTAGTGGAGTAGAAGAACAAAGTAGCAAAACATTGAAATACTTAAATAAAGTACAAGTATCTCAAAATTGTACCCAAGTATAGTACTTGAGTTTATGAACTTAGTTACTTTACACCACTGGCTATAAAGATAGAAAGACTAAGCCTTGCACAGAGGCATGAAAATACATTTTCAAAATGCTCAACAGTGCTGCCAAAATTATAAACTGACTGCTACACAATTAAAATAAATGCTTTTATACATTTCTATTAGATGTGACTCTTTAGCGTTTCTGTTATTATTAACACTGTTGCTTTAGTTGTTCTGACTGCTAAAATCCTCTGTTATTCCTATGTTCCTGTTATGGGGTCGGGGGGGGGGCGGGGGCTCGGATCCTTGTCACCTTTTTCATACCTGATGAGTTTGCATCCCTGCCTATAGTATACATTGGAATGATTTCAAACCTGTTTTTATTTATCCCAATAATTATAAAGGAGTGCCTTGGAAATATTTGTTTACATAAATTGTGGTCAAAACGTTTGAGACCCACTGAGATAATTTAGACAAAAGTGAACTATCTGAACACTGAGAGTCCTTTACCTGACTGAGCTGTAGTTATCAGCCTCTCAGTCTGACTGGAGAGGACTCTCCCTCCACCTCTCAGAGAGTCCTTCACCTCACTGAGCTGTAGTTATCAGCCTCTCAGTCTGACTGGAGAGGACTCTCCCTCCACCTCTCAGAGAGTCCTTCACCTCACTGAGCTGTAGTTATCAGCCTCTCAGTCTGACTGCAGAGGACTCTCCCTCCACCTCTCAGAGAGTCCTTCACCTCACTGAGCTGTAGTTATCAGCCTCTCAGTCTGACTGGAGAGGACTCTCCCTCCACCTCTCAGAGAGTCCTTCACCTCACTGAGCTGTAGTTATCAGCCTCTCAGTCTGTCAGGAGAGGACTCTCCCTCCACCTCTCAGAGCGTCCTTCACCTCACTGAGCTGTAGTTATCAGCCTCTCAGTCTGACTGGAGAGGACTCTCCCTCCACCTCTCAGAGAGTCCTTCACCTCACTGAGCTGTAGTTATCAGCCTCTCAGTCTGACTGGAGAGGACTCTCCCTCCACCTCTCAGAGAGTCCTTCACCTCACTGAGCTGTAGTTATCAGCCTCTCAGTCTGACAGGAGAGGACTCTCCCTCCACATTATTGTAGACATCTTCTTCTTATATCCGTTAGCGCAGCTAGCACCAGGTGCTAATAACAACAGCGCCGGTACCGGTGCACCCTCTCTCTCTCCCTCACTCACTCTCTCGCTCCCACGCTCAGTCGCCCTTTGGCTGTGAGCTGCGGGCGCCAGATAAGCCAACATCCCCCATTTTCATCACTTACAGCGCCCATCGTACAGGGCAAATGAAAAGTGTAACCGGGGTGAAAAGGGTGTTGCATTTACTTAATTATGAATATTGTTACATCAAGGCCGAAAATTAGGATGAGCACCAACGGTCAAATAAAAAGTGTTTCCCTCCCAGAGCTACCAGCGCAGCGCCTCCCCAGATCTGGCGCCCTAGGCGAACATCTATAACGCCAGTGCTACGGGCCGGCCCTGCTTGTAGGTGAAGTGTAGGTACTTTTCCAGTTGGTCTACCTGCTCTTCACGTAGCTCTGCATGTCGTCGTTTAGGTGCTTTCTGGAGATAGGCACTCCTCAATCCACTCCTCCATAGTAAGGCCACCCCGGAGGTCCAAGTTAACCTTAACTGTTTCCATGCTTTGTAAGTTTGTTTCGTAACAGACAAAATGTAAATATATTTATAAAACGGACAAGTCAAATCAAGCAATCTGATTGGTCGATAGCGTTTTTGCGGACCTTTTTGATTACAGATTTGAAAACATCGTTGCTTGCTTTAAAAGTAGCACAATTCATGATGTCAAACGGGGAAGTATCTAGATATCCCTGCCATAATGCCAAAGGAACTGCACACTGAATATGTTTTGCCGTTTGATGTCTATGTCTGGACCGTAGCGCCCCTCCAAGACAATGGTAGGGGTCGGGGAAACAAATTTATATTTTGTCAGTATGAAGAAAAACAAATATAATTTAGTCCAAATAGCAAAGCTGGAAATGTAGAAGTCATTACCCACCACATGTTCATACACCCCTTTATTGTGTTTACGTACTGGTCGTGGTGAGACCTAATACAAGTCATAACTCCACCCCGATGTACCTGGATCATTCTAGTTTCTCTCCATAAACCTGCCTCACTGTAGAGACACACCATGGCATCAGCTTGGTACCAAAGGATGACCCTGACACTATATTGATTTAGAAGGGACATCATCATCATCAATAAATACATCTGTAAATGCTCCAGAGTTAGTCAAGAGGTAGTTTTAATCTGTAGTCCCGGGACAGGCTGGTAGTCACCCTAAAAACAAAATAGAATCAGGAAGAACAACAACACAGAGATCAGAGAGCAAGAAGATAACTGACAGATTATCCTCACTCAGGTTTTCATTGGGATTTAAATGAACTTTTATGTGACTTGTTCTCTGGTTGTTTCTGGGATTCGGTCCCATTGTTGATCAGCGTAAACAGAACTTTTAGACCGACTGAAATACGTTTTCCTGAGCGGAATAATCTCCTCTTGCTGCACCTGTTGTTTACCTGTATGGTGATAAACTCTCTGAGAGGAGGTGAGGTGAGGCCGTGGAGGATCTGTTACAGATGATGATTCTCTACACGTTCTATTTTTGAAGTATTGACAGTGATGAGAATACACTCTATGTGGTCTTGAAAAGCCTCCAGTACCTCTTTCTGTGGGTCAGATTTCACATCTCTGTCTTCCCGACACCTTCTTTCCTCAGTTCCTCGTCCCATCATGTCTCAGAACTACCCGTACAGACCTCCGCCCGCCGACTCCAATCTCAGACCCGTTCCTGGACCGTACGGATCTTCAGATCGACGCTACGCCTCCTCTTCCACCACCCTGTCTTCTTCAGACTTTTACAGGCCGCCTCCAGAGTCCATCCTGCCTCCTCCCTCGTCCTCCAGAGGTTCCTCCTGGTCTCAGGACGGGGCTCTGAGCATCCTGAACAGCTTTGGACTGGAACCAGCAGAACTCGCTCTTCTTGCTGAACTTCCAGAAGACATCCTGACCGTCGAATCCCTTCCTCAAGTCCTCAAGCAGATCAAGGGAAAGAGGGGCACCGTGAGACCTTTGAATACTCCTTCCTCCTCTTCCTCTTCTTCTTATCCCCCCAGATCCTCCACCACCAGCAACTGGGATCCTCCCCGCAACCAGTACCCACAGAGCCACTTAACACCCGGTAATCTTTTACCAGAGCTGGATAGCTGGGGGCATCCCATCACCTTCAACTCACCATCGTCATCCTCGTCCTCCAGCTACCAGGTGGACTTCAAACCAGGAGCTTCTGGGAAGACGGGCAGAAACATGAGTCCATTTCCCCCTAAAGACTACAACCATGGACACTCTGAGTTCGGCAAGAAGGCCGATGGTCCAGTTGTCTCTCAAGACTACAACTACAGACCAGGACCTTCTGATTTTGGTAAGATGGGCAAGGATGCTGGTCCAGTTTCCTCTCTAGACTACGATTCCAGACCTTCTGATTTTGGTAAGACAGGCAGAAACGCCAGTCCATTTTCCCCTAAAGACTACAACCATGGACCCTCTGAGTTCGGCAAGAAAGTAGCTGGTCCATCTGTCTCTCAAGACTACAACTACAGACCAGGACCTTCTGATTTTGGTAAGATGGGTAGAGATGCAGGTCCAGTTTCTTCTGTAGACTACGATTCCAGACCTTCTGATTTCGGCATGATAGTTGCTGGTCCAGTTGTCTCTCAAGACTACAACTACGATTCCAGACCTTCTGATTTTGGCAACACGGGCAGAGATGCCAGTCTATTTCCCCCTAAAGACTACAACTACAGAACCTCTGATTATGTTCAGTCGAGTAGAGACGCCGCTCCACTTTCCTCTCTAGACTACAAACACGAATCGGGACCTTCTGATTACGGTAAGACGGGCCGATACGCCAGTCCAGTTTCTTCTTTAGACTACAACCACGGATCGGCACCGGCTGATTTTGGTAAGAAAGGCAGCGTCGCCGGTCCAGTTTCCCCTAAAGACTACAACCATGGACCCTCTGAGTTCGGCAAGAAAGCCGGTGGTCCACTTGTCTCTCAAGACTACATCTACATACCAGGACCTTCTGATTTTGGTAAGAAAGGCAGCGTCTCTGGTCCAGTTTCCTCGCAGGTCCGACCCTCTTTCGGCTCTGCAGGACGGGACAAGAAACCCCGTCCTTCCTGTTTCTCTCAGCCGGTTCAGCATTACGGTTCAGTTCCTCCTCCTCCTCCTGAAGAGCCGCTTCTGAAACCTGGTTCTGGTCGCGATGGAGGATCTGAGGTTTCTTCCAGGATGCCGTCGAAGGAGAAAGCTCTGGATTTCCACGGGAAGTCTCCACCATCGTTCCCCTACTCTTCCTCTCTGTGCGACATCACTGTCATGTCAGAGAAGGTAAGTAACACCTGCACCTGGATACCTGAGTCTGATGGGGGGGGGGGGGGTGTGAGGTAGAAACCAGTGAGACCAGCTGCAGTTATGGTTCTTCTTCTTCTTGTGTTCCAGGTGTGGATCAAACATATCAACGGGCCTCACCATGCAGACGGACAGCTCAGCCTCCTGCAGCAGTAAGCTCCTCTCTGTTATATAATGAATAAAGAACACCTCCTGACCATAGCCTCTATATATAAATGGACGTAGGGTCCGTGACGTCACCCATAGGATTCTGCAGAGTTGCCGAGAAGCCCTTAGTAGGCGGAGTCGGCCACTAACGGCTCGACAGTGACGTCAGAGTTCCACTCCAGCCTGCTCCAAATAAGGGCAAAGAGGCGGAGCCGAGGCGGGACCTGCTGCCACCGGGCTGGAAGTTCCAGAGCTAGCTGAAGCTACCAAGCTAAGCTAACATGCTCCCCATCTGCACACTGCCGTCACATTTTACGTTTCTAAGGTAAGCGGACATGAAACTATTCAGCAAAACTATAAATAATAATCTAAGTTATTGAGTTTTTAGCATAATACTTCAGAATCTTAAAATCCCTTAACGTTTGTATGCAATGTGCTAAATGCAACACTGGAATCAAGCAAATATTAATATGTTTGCATGACATTAGTTATTTATATTTTGCCATCACTTAATTATACGTTTAATACATTTAAGTCAAGCTAAGGTACATGTGATGGTAGCTAGTTAGTGCTCTTACCTGTGAGGCCTCCTCCAAACAGCATTATAACCGGACTGTATCATTAAAACTACAAGTACCAGTTCTAGATCCTTGACTTTAGACAAACAATTCAAAAGACAAAATGTATTTAAAGACCAATCTTTATTTGAATGTGCCTCTTAACCTGAGATATTAGTTATTAGGGGTGTTGAAAATAATCGTTTCTACGATGCATTGCGATGCGGACGTGGACGATTCGGTCTCGATGCAGTGACGGAAGATAACCGATTATAGTGTAGTAACGTTGCTTCCTGATTTTCCGGCCGCGGCTTTACTATAATGTTTTTTTTTCTGTCACTTTAATATCAAATCGGTCGGTGACGCAGAGATCAGGGAACAGACGTGACAGCGGCACAGCGGCACCAAACACGGAGCAGTCTGCTTTATCCACCAACACAAGAACACCAGTCCAGAACCAACAGCAGAAGGACCCGCTCTGAATCACTCCGTGTCGCTGCGGCTCAGAGACACAAGGATTTATGTTTTTCAAAAATAATCGCGTTACAATCATGTCAGGTTTTTGGTGGATTTAATTAAGTCTTGGATTGCAGAATATGAATGTCCTCTAGCAATTTTCAGACGATATTATTATATACGTGTGTAAAGTTTGTGAAGGCAGGAGGAAAAAAGCTTCCGCGATCACCGTCTCCTCTCCGTTCCTCCAAACCCCGCCCCCTCCCTGAAAATAATGAGTGACAGGCTGATAGTGACCCGATAGAAACTTTATTATTCACTTAATCACTGATTGAGATATAATGAAGCTAACTTAATCTCATACATTATGTAACAGTAAGACAGAGAATGTAAGTGTGCACCCACATGCAGTATGCTGTTGTAAATACTCCTGTTGTCTGCTGTGTTCAGACTCAAGTCCTGTGTGTGATGCCACATTCAGGACATTCAGTGTCCTTTCTTTAACAGAAGACCGTTGCTAGAAGCTGCAGCTAGACTGCAGAAGCATTAGTTTTTTGTTTTTGAGGATGGAACAACTTCACACACAGATATAGGGAGGCTAGACCTATACAATTAATTTATTTTGGTTTATAAATTAATGTCAAGACATTTATGTTATTGATTTCTGAAGCACTTTCTAAATAATAAAAAGAGAGTTCATATGTATTTACTGCATGTATGCATTGATGAAAAATAAGCCATGTGCAGTAATATAGAAAATTGAGGATGCAACGCATTGGTATGAATCGTGATGCATCGTGATGCATCGGGATATCGAATTGAATCGAATCGTTGACAGGATAATCGTAATCGAATCGTGAGACCAGTGAAGATGCACAGCCCTATTAGTTATACAGTAATACTATTGACAATCTAAAAAAACTGAGCAACTCAACGGTTCACTTTTATATTTCTTATTGTCTAAAGCATTTATTATTTTCATTTTTCCCCTCTCATATTCAGTGTGGAGTGTGGACGGATTGAGACAGCGTGGTGTCCAGAGAGCTGCAGAGACTTCAGGGAGAAACCTCCGTGTGATGGACGTCCTGTCTGTTGGTTTGGAGAGGACTGAGGGCCTTTCCTCAGCGAGGAGGATCAGGCCTGATGGAGGAGCCCATGCATAGCTGATACCAACTGATCAGGCCTAGTCTGTCACTTTATTTGACTAAATATGTTTACTTATACATTTAATAGGTTTACACCTTCTGTCCATATGTGCTTTTTATTTAAAACATGTTTGATTAACTTTTGGTTCACATTTCAATAAATTGTATTTGTATTTGCACTCCTTTTGTCCATTATTCTTACTGAAAATGTTAGATTACACATTTACATCCGACTGAAGATTGGCCCCATTTATTTGTGACGTTGCAAACTCTGCGGGTTATAGAAATAATCAGCTGATGGAGTGTAGATGTGGAAATAGGTGCATTCGATCAGCTGACTGTGTTTTCACAGTACTGGTCTTAACATCTCATAACATCAGCTTTTAATGTTCCTCTTGGATGTTTTTCTTGACCCTCGGAGAAGGAGGAGATGCTGAGTCGTGTCTTTCAGGCATGTCCTTTCCTAACAAAAATGACAGGAAACATAAAACATATTATTGCAGAACAAGTGTGTTATTTATGAAAGATGTGTGTTTGTGTTTTTAGGGGCTGTAGATATAATTATTTTGTAATGGTAATGTTTTTTTTTATTTCAACAGTGAGCTACAAAGACAATCAGATTATGAATGAACAGTATGAAATTCATCAACATTGAAATGTATTTTATTATCAAAATAATATTGAACTGTTATTAAAACATAGTGCAACTGTAGAAGCTTGCTCTGTTCTCTCACTGAAAGAATCACTTTTACCACGTTTTTTACAGACAATATTGAGAGATAAATAGCAGTTGTCACTATGCGTTAAATATCTTTGCCTTCAATACATAAAATTAGAAAGCTGACAAAGTAATATTGCTTGTTAACATCTAAAGTAACCCTTTGCATGGAAAAACCCTCAACTTCACTGATGTGTAGGTGATCTAGTATTTAGTATTGTTCAATGGAATGTATATCAGTGTATTAAAGTCAATACTTCATTTATTTAAACCAATATCTTTCTTGATTCTTTGTACAGTATGAAAAAAGAGTCTTTATACCTGTGCTGAAGTTCACTGCTGTGAGGAGTCCAGTTCTGTCTCTCACTCTCTGGTCCAGCCTGTCTGCATCACCTGGACACTTTAAACAAACAGATATATATGTAAAGTACCATGTGTACAAACAATATAACTTATTCTCTTCTGTTGAACATGTTGGATTGTGTATTGGCCGAGTCAGGGTCCTTTTTATTTAACTAACTTTGGAAGTTGTGTTACCAATGCTTACTGTTTATTTGATACCAATTTGGTAATGCAATTAATAAAAACAACAAGGTTTGGGTTCGTTCTTCAGATGACTGTGACGTTAATGTGTAAGCTCAATAATGAACTCCAGCTCAACCAACCATATTGTAATATCTAAGTAATCATCTTGAAATATGACATTAATAATTGTAATATACACACATCTTATTGTGAGGTTGATTTCACATACACTACTTCGACGTTAGCTTGTCTACATACTTGAGCATAGCCAATTTAAATGAACCTTAGCGATGCATAAAGTTCCTACCTACATAATAAAATATCTCTCTAAGTTACAAGGATGACCTTATTTTATCAACCTCAAACAGAAGCCTTTTGTTCTACAGTATTATCCCACTTAACGCTTAACACTTGTCTATTTCGTTTTAACCTTTATATATACAGTCTATGGTTTTAAGTTAACTTGGAGGCTACGATTAGCATCGTTAGCACAGATATAGCTACCACTCGCTTACACGCTAACCCAAGCCATAACATTCATTACGTAGCTGATTGAAATCATAAACACATAAATAAAGTACTCGAATTTCACTTACCACAAAACGGCATTCATGCACCGTCTGTTTTAACCGCAGAGCGAGTCACAATAGTCCGATATATAAGCATGAAGAACAAACAAACACGGCCGGGGTCAAGTTGTGTTCCCTGGATGAACTGAGCAGGCAGAGTCCCTGTAGCTTCACGGAGCAGCTAGCAGAGAGACAAGAAGCTAACAGCAGCAGTCACTTGACAGAGCTGTCACTCAAAGTGACCACGCCCTAATTTATGCAAAAACTTTAAGACCTAATATAAATGAAAGGGTCATGTTAGAAAACAATTCACTCACGGATTCATAATCATGAAGGTGGAATCTAACTATATCTATAATAATATTTATTGCATCCAGGGCGAGAAACTTGTTTTTTTCTGCTGTAAAATTGGGCATTTTAACATGGGGTCTATGGAAATTGCTCCTTTCTGCAGTCATCGCCTATCGGCCAATATATGAACTGCAGTTTGTGGCACTTCCGTATTGGCGTCCCGGCTCTTCCCCAGAGTTTGCTGCTTGCTCCTGACCTACCTACCAAACTAACTCATTAACTATATAGCTAACTCATTACCTACCTAACTAATTAATTAACTACCTAACTAACTCATTAACTACCTAACTAATTTGTTAACTACCTTAGAAACTCATTAACTATCTAACTAACTAATTAACTATCTAACTAACTCATTACCTAACTAATTAATTAACTACCTAACTAACTCATTAGCTATCTAATTAATTCATTAACTATCTAGCTAACTCATTACCTGCCTAACTAATTAATTAACTACCTAACTAACTCATTACCTACCTAACTAATGCATTAACTATCTAGCTAACTCATTACCTACCTAACTAATTAATTAACTACCTAACTAACTCATTAACTACCTAACTAACTCATTAACTACCTAACTAATTGATTAACTACCTTGCTAACTCATTAACTATCTAACTAACTCATTACCTATCTAATTCATTACCTAACTAATTCATTAACTACCTAACTAATTCATTAACTACCTAACTAACTCATTACCTACCTAACTAACTCATTAACTACCTAACTAATTCATTAACTACCTAACTAATTAATTAACTACCTAACTAATTCATTACCTACCTAATTAATTCATTAACTATCTAGCTAACTCTGTAACTACCTAACTAACTCATTACCTACCTAACTAACTCATTAACTACCTAACTAACTCATTACCTACCTATCTAATTCATTAACTACCTAACTAATTCATTAACTACCTAACTAACTCATTACCTACCCAACTAACTCATTAACTACCTAACTAACTCATTAACTACCTAACTAACTCATTACCTACCTAATTAATTCATTAACTATCTAACTAATTCAATAACTATCTAGCTAATTAATTATCTAACTAACTCATTACCTACCTAACTAATGTATTAACCAACTAACTAACTCATTACCTACCTAACTAATGTATTAACCAACTAACTAACTCATTACCTATCTAACTAACTAATTACCTACCTAATTAATTCATTAACTATCTAACTAATTCATTAACTATCTAGCTAACTCTGTAACTATCTAACTAACTCATTAACTAACTAATTCATTTACTACCTAACTAATTAATTAACTACCTAACTAACTCATTACCTACCTAATTAATTCATTAACTATCTAACTAATTCAATACCTATCTAGCTAATTAATTAACTATCTAGCTAACTAATTACCTACCTAACTAATTAATTAACTACCTAACTAACTCATTACCTACCTAATTAATTCATTAACTATCTAACTAATTCATTAACTATCTAGCTAACTCTGTAACTATCTAACTAACTCATTATTTACCTAACTAACTCATTAACCAACTAACTAACTCATTACCTATCTAACTAACTCATTAACTATCTAATTCATTAACTACCTAACTAACTCATTAATTATCTAACTAACTCATTAATTAGGGAGGCGTGTGGTGCAGTGGGTTGTCCGTTGGTGTTCGGATCAGTGGGTCACAGGTTCAAACCCCACTGCATGTCGTTGTGTCCCTGAGACACTTCACCCCAAATTGCTCCTGTGGTGATTGCCCACAATATTGAGTATGTAAGTCGCTTTGGATAAAAGCGTCTAACAAGTGACATGTAATGTAATTTAATGTAATACCTAACTAATTAATTAATTAACTACCTAACTAACTCATTAACTATCTAATTAACTCATTACCTACCTAACTAACTCATTAACTACCTAACTAAATCATTAACTAACTACCTAACTAACTCATTACCTACCTAACTAATTCATTAACTGTGGGGATTGTCCACAGTACAAATGTCTAACAAATGACATGTAATGTAATGTAATTAACTAACTAATTAAATAACTATCTAGCTCAGTGGTTCTCAACTGGTGGGTCGCGACCCATAAGTGGGTCGTGGACCCGTTTTGTGTGGGTCGTGGATGTGTGAGTGAAGAAAAGGCCTGATGTTCTAACGCTGTGCATGCAGTAGGCGTTGGACTGGAAGTACCGTAGACCATAAACGCTTTTGAAAACGTCTGTCACGTAGTGATCATCTTCTCAATAAAACATCTTTGCTGATGTTTTTTCGAGTCTTCTGGCCAATCAGAATCAAGAGGGTTGCCGGAAGTCCTCACGGAGAACAACTTTGCGGTAGAACTACTCTTTAGCCATGGGTACAACTTCAGATAACTTCAGATATAAATAAACACGTAATGAAATATAACACCCGGTTTGAAGATTGACAGGTCACAGAACAATGGGGGCTATCTACCCTTACTCACAAAGTAATTCACACAGACTATCTCCTCTTTGCTCTTCTCTCTGAGTGGAGCAGCAAGCTGTCAGAACAAAGTGAAAAACAAACAATGGCATCACATATTATTAATATGTCGGGTAGTAATAGATTTATTTATTTTCTTCTCAGAGTGTACCAGAATGAGAAGGTTATATGTTAGTATTTCTAAAATCTCCTGGGGGAGAATCCCCCCAGACCCCCTGCTGGCTTTGGGTTTTCAGCATGTGTGCCTTTTTATGTTATACATACTGATGCACAAAGTCTGCTTCAGTCTGACCTTATTGAACTAACTGACTGACTGACTAACTAACTAACTACCTACCCAACTAACTCATTACCTACCTAACTCACTCATTAAGTAAATAACTAACTGACTGACTCACTAACTAAATTACTAACTAAATAGCTAACTAACAAACTAACTACATGTCTGAGGTATGTAATGTAAAGCGCTTTGAGCATTTGGAAAAGCGTAAAAATAAATGTAATTAATTATTATTATTATTATTATTATTACTATTACTATTATTATTATTATTATTATTATTATTATTATTATTATTATTATTATGTAAGTCGCTTTGGGTAAAAATATCTAACAAGTGACATGTCATTGAACTAACTCACTAACTAACTTACTATATATATATATATATATATATGTGTGTGTGTATATATATGTTTATTGTGTATTTATACAGCCCTCTGACTACTTCCTCCTCATTAAACAGCCTCTAGTTTATAAAGAGCTTTGGATCATCTTAAATCTATTTTGTCATTTCAGTGCCGACAGCCAATCAGAGAAGAAGAACGACGAGGCGAAACCCGCCCGGCAACAGGCAGCCAATCAGAAGTCCTCCAGTAAAAACAGCCTTTTGTCTCCTATCAGTATTCACTGTACTACCTTCTTTACTGTCCTAAGGTCTTCTCTCTGTGTTCGACAGACTCCCAGCCGAAGAACGCCCTCCAGAAGAAGGTAAAGCCTGACTCAGAGAGCATCACAGCTCCTCTGCGGACTGAAGTACTTTAATATGTTGTGTTTCCTGACAGGTGTCGGAGAAATGTAAAGTGGTGTGTGTGAAGTTTCCGGCTCAGTCTGTGGACGAGGCATACCTGAAGAAACTCACCGAACCATTCGGGAAGATCGTCATGTTCCCGTCTCTGGTGAGTGCATCAGTATAATACTGGTATGATACAGAATAATACAGGTATATAATACAGTATATTAAATGATATAATACAGTATGATACAGAAGAATACAGAATAATACAGTATAATATTAATATTATACAGTATAATACGTAATTTGCACAATTAGCACAAGTATAGTTAATTAGGATATGCAGACAATAGCTAAACAATGGCTTGGCAGATTTGGGCAATTTCTGAGGTTTTTGAGGAATCAATTTCTGAATTTTTTAGGATCATAAATGGGAGTTTTGAGACCCCTAAAACTTTTAAATGGACCCAGAATTAATCATAATCAGTACACAGAGAGGACAGATCTGTCCACTTTCTGGTTAAAAATGTCCTTCATGATCCTGGAAATGTCAGAAATAGATCCTCAGTAACTTCCAATACCACTCCAGAACTGTCCAAATCAAGTCATTGTTTAACTATTGTCCCCATAGACCATAATGCCATTAGCTTTAATTAACTCAACGTATGTTAATTGTTCCAATGTCCCAACATCTGCAGGTTAGCATCCAGCATTCTCTATGACCTGGAGACCCTACTAAACATTTATATCATTAAACTTTGGGGTCTCAAGATGTCAATAGATCTCTCTGAGCTGCAGACAGACCATAATGTTGTTTTTAAAATGTTATTGTTTTGTGAATCAGGCGTTTGTGGAGCTGGGCTCGGCGGACCAGGCAAGGGATTTGGTGAAATATCACGAAAACTTTCCTCTGACTGTGAACGGAGCGGCGATCGAGTTCAAACTGTCCAACACCTTCAGCTTCCTGCAGGTACATTCATCCAATCAGACGCTGAGAGATTCATCCAATCAGACGCTGAGCGATTCATCCAATCAGACGCTGAGAGATTCATCCAATCAGACGCTGAGATATATATATATATATACAGGGGTTTAAGGTCTAGAGACGTCCGGTAGTTTATCTTCACCTGAAACACCTCCAGATTAAATGATGAATTCAATATTAATCAATAACCCATTCCCCCCCCCCCCCCTCAGAGCTCACGGGTGGTGAGTTTCTGCCCGGCCCCGTCGGGCGATGACAGCCAATCAGATCTTCTGACCATCGTGAAGCGTTTCGGGGAGCCAATCCTCACCCTGTTCCTGCCCTCCAAGGTGAGAACCATTCAAAGTGCTGATTGGTCAACCGCTTAGAGATGTCCCGCCCCTTTAGCCTATCACGTACAATGTGTTGGAGCGCCAGCCAATAGGAGTGTTCCGTAGTGATGTCACGATATTATGGAACCTTGGGATTTTTAATTTGGCAGACCGTTTACATGCATAGTATTTATATTAACATAAACACTTAAAGTAGGAATGTGCAAAAAGAAGGTAAAATACAATTGTATTCATAAACATAAGAAGTAAAGTGTCCAATACATTTTTTATTTTTTATTATTTATATTAACATAAACAGTTACCGTTGTTCTGGAACCATGGGATTTTGGCCTCTGCAGACCATTTACATGCACTAACACCTACAGAACACACCACAGGAGAGGAATAGGTTATTTTAATGTAAATAAATCACATTTCCTTTCTTTTAAAAAGGTATAATTATCCACTTCTAGCTACATTTCCTTAGAGATGTCCCGCCCCTTACCCTATCACGTACAATGTGTTGGAGCGCTAGCCAATAGGAGTGCGAGTGTTACATAGTGATGTCACTATGTTCTGGTAAAAGTATCCACTTCTAGCTACATTTCCTTAGAGATGTCCCGCCCCCTTAGCCTTATCACCTACAATGTGTTCAGCGTCTTTTTGTTGTTCTTGAACCCATATGATTTTTAATATTGTAGTTCTCCATGTTTTCACTGTAACTTGACCTTTTGTTTCCCAGGCGTACGTAGAGATGAAGGACACTCCTGAGGCTCAGAAGCTGGTGGACTTCTACTCCTCCAGAGCTCTGAAGATCAACAACAACTCCATCACCGTGTCCTTTTCCGGAGAGTTCAAGACCCTCTCGTGAGTACCAGGGTCCGGGTCGATTAACGGGTCATTGATAGGACATGAATGGGTCATTAACGAGATCTGTTCTGATTCTCTTTTCCTCCTTCAGGGGAGTCGCAGCAGCAAAGAGCTACGAAGAAACGATTTCCACCAAGAGGACGAGGAGTACGAGTCGAGAGGAAGAAGGCAAGAGGAAGAGGAGGAGCAGCAAAGAGAGGTCCAGGTCCACAGATAAAAACACTAAAGAGGACAGAACCAAGTCCAGGTCCAGAGAGAAATCTAAAGATAAAGACAAGAAGAAGTTCAGGTCCAGAGAGAAATCCAGCATGAGCAAGTCAACCAGAACCAGGTCTAGATCCAGAGAGAGGTCGATCAAAGAGGAAAACACCAGGTCCAGATCCAGGTCCAGAGACAAGACGACCAGAACTAGATCTAGATCCAGAGAGAGGGCGATCAAAGAGGAAAACACCAGGTCCAGATCCAGAGAAGAGTCCACAAGAGAGAGAAGGTCTGGCTCTAAGTCTAGGTCCAAACATACATCCAGCAGAGACAAGACGACCAGAACAAGGTCTAGATCCAGAGAGAGGGCGATCAAAGAGGAAAACACCAGGTCCAGATCCAGAGAGAGGTCGATCAAAGAGGAAAACACCAGGTCAAGATCCAGGTCCAGAGACAAGACGACCAGAACTAGATCTAGATCCAGAGAGAAGTCGACGAAAGACGAAAACACCAGGTCCAAATCCAGGTCCAAATCCAGGTCCAGAGACAAGACGACCAGAACAAGGTCTAGATCCAGAGAGAGGGCGATCAAAGAGGAAAACACCAGGTCCAGATCCAGAGAAGAGTCCACAAGAGAGAGAAGGTCCGGCTCTAAGTCCAGTCCCAGAGAGAAATCCAGCAGCGGATCCTCCGAGAAGAACCAGACCGAGACAAAGTCTGAGGAACCGGAAGAACCGGAGAAAACTGAGAAAACTGAGAAAACTGAGAAACTGGAGAAAACGGAGACGACCGGTAAGAAACAAAGTTCTGATGATCTGTCGTCGCCGAAATAATTGAGAAAACTGAATTATTAGCATTTTAAGAGCAGCTTATGAAGCTGATTTAATGATAACATCAAAGCAGAATATTGAGCGTAAACAACGTAAAAATGTATCATATTTAGACGTTCTGGTGATGAAGATATTTCATATGTTACGTCTATTAAGTAAAACAATTATTAAAGTTATGAGATATTTCGTAAAATAACTAGATAACCTTTAGTTATAAAGGTTATGTTCAGATATCGTACGATACGTTGATTTCGTAAAATAAAACACGTACAACAATAAGTAGGTAGATGACATGTATAAAGGTATAATGGTCATGTCCAGACATTTTACAATAAATAAATAACGTAAATATCGTACGATAAGTCGATTACGTAAAGAACCTAGGCTAAGTCGATAACATAAATCACGTAAATGACGTTCGATAAGCCGATAACGTAAATATTCTAGGATAAGTAAAAAACATAAATATCGTACAATGAGTTTATAGCGTAACTATTTTACCACAAGTGGATAATGTAAAGAACCTAATTATTGTACGCTAAGTTGATAACGTAAATTACGTACGATAAGTCAAAAACGTAAATATCGTACAATAAGTTGATAAGATAAATATCGTATGATAAGTTGATAGCGTAAATATTGTATGATAAGTTAATAACGTAAATATCGTACGATAAGTCGATAACATAAATCACGTAAATGACGTTCGATAAGCCGATAACGTAAATATTGTAGGATAAGTAAAAAACATAAATATCGTACAATGAGTTTATAGCGTAACTATTTTACCACAAGTGGATAATGTAAAGAACCTAATTATTGTACGCTAAGTTGATAACGTAAATTACGTACGATAAGTCAAAAACGTAAATATCGTACAATAAGTTGATAAGATAAATATCGTATGATAAGTTGATAGCGTAAATAGCGTACGATAAGTCATAACGTAAATATTGTATGATACGTTAATAACGTAAATATCGTACGATAAGTCGATAATGAGAATATGGTGCCTCAATGTGAAACGGCCTAATTCACAAAAGTACGTAATTTCCTTTCTTAGATACGGATCTGGTTTGCAGCAGATTTGATGACACTTTCAGGTGTTACTGTTATTACTCTTCAGGAAATACTGACGTTATTTTGTGCTACATCAAAACTAATCCCTCTTCCTCCTCTTCCTCCTCTTCCTCCTCTCTCCTCAGACTCTGATCCCGTCACAGACATGAAACCTGCAGCTGAGGAAGAGGAGGAGGAGGAGGAAGAGGAAGAGGAGTGAGTCTCATTCTATATTTAAATCACCTGCTGCTTTTATCAGAGTGTTAAAGTCTATCTGTTGTCCTGCAGGTCGTCTGCAGAGGAGAGCGACCTCGAGGGGATGGAGATGATCGGAGAGGATGGAGAGAGTCTGGAGGAAGACGAGGAGGAGGAGGAGGAGGAAGAGCACCGTCCTGCTGAGAGAACAGACTCACCTGGAGAAGGTAGGAACAAAAATGGCGCTAAGAGAAAACACAATATCATCCTCTAATTAAAAAAATATATATATATATCCTGGCTCTGTTGTGATTGGTCAACCACTTGGAGATGTCCCGCCCCTTTAACCTATCAAGTGCAATGTGTTGGAGCGCTAGCCAATAGGAGCGCGAGTGTCACATAGTGATGTTTTCCCAGAACTTTAGCCTCTGCAGACCGTTTACATGCACTAACAGCTACAGAACTACAGGAGAGGAGCAGGGACTCTTTAAAATGTGTTCTCTTTTCTGTTTCAGGTCAAAAGGAGGAGGTGAAGGATGGAGAGGAGGTGCCTATAAAAGAGGAAGAGGAGGTGCCTATAAGGCAGCAGGAGGAAGAGGTAAAGACTTAAACACTTATTTTATTATATAACATACTTAAAAAGGACACTACAATTTAGGCGGTAACAGTCGTAATAATCCGGTAACAAGTTGTAATGTTTGGACAAAAAAAAGATTCAAATATTTCAAAATCGAAAACATTTGAAAACGGAAAAGAAAATGTAATATTTCAATAAAAAAGTCGAAAAATTACAGAAAAGTAAAAAATCTTGAGAACTTTTTCAGGAAAATATCTTGCAATGTCAAAACAAGAATATTTAAAGGAAACATTTTTTAAATATCTGCATTATAAAACTCCTACCTGTTGTACACACTACAGGTAAATATGGTAACATCTATAACTAAGTGGATAACAGAAGTGGGCCACCGTGATGGAGGGACTGAACATAGGATCGGACCAGATACAATGGAACCAGCAAAAGAGGGTATTCCAATGCGAGTTCAGCCCCCGCAGCCCAGAGGGAATAGAAAAAAGCGGAGAGAGCTCCTTCAGCTTCGATACACAAAACATGACAGATCCGACCACGGTGCCAATATCGTTCTATCACCCAGAAATGGATCCCCGCCTCTCCTTAGTCAGGTCATCACACTGGCTCAATCACCAAGCCAGAGACCAACTGATGAACGAAAAAAGGGCAGAGGCGCAAAGATCTTCTTATATCCACAAAAAGAAACGAGAAAACACCAGGGGAGGATCAAGAGCCCTCGCCAGGGTGAGCCGCCTAGTAAACGAATCCAAGTTAAATTGGAGCACACCGTTCCTCAAAGAAGAGGTGACCCTGGAACCAAGGCCCTACTACCTGAGACCATTCAAGAAGCCGCGGCTCAACAACTAGAACATGTTGAGCAACCTCCCCATGAAGATGAAGAAAAGGTGAAAAAACCACTCACCTTCAAAATCACAGACAAGACAAAAAATAAATGTGACCCAGCGGACGCAAGACGATGCGCGTCATGGGCAGGAGAGTATGTTGCAGGAGAACCCGTAGGAATATCACACAATGTCCCACCAGGGTGGGTGATAGCCACATGGGGAGGCGACTACTTCATCTGTCCGAAAGAAAGGTGTCCGTCTTACGGGAAATGGCTGGACAATGAAGAACCTCCCGTGCATATACAAGATGCCTTGAAACCTCTGATGACAATAGTTTCAGAGGAAAATGATTTCCAAAGCCAGCATAACCTGTTCGTTCTCCCAGAAAATGAGGATTGTGATGACTGGCACCCGATTGTTGATGATCAAACCAAAGGAAGAGCAGTGCTGTACACCCATAGTCCCATCGGAGGATACAGAAAGTGCTGCATCAGGTACTTTTCCAATCCTAACAACTGGGACACTCTCGCGGGATTCCGCTATGGGGAAAGAGGTTTCCACCATTTAACTTATATCTGGAAATATGATGAAAACTGGCACCGAGCTCTGCTTGATCGCTCAGCAATGGTGTGGCAGAATAAAGGTGATAAAGAATTCAACACAAAGGGGGGAATCAAAAGCCTCCAAGTGACATGTTTCAAAACCAACTCCAACAGCTCATATTTTGCAATCACCGACGATGGATGTGGAAACATGTATATGCTAACAGATACAGGACGAAATGGATGCTATGGAGAAGTCTGAGACAAACCGGGAAGTGCATGGGCCGGATGGAATGAAGATTTCATAGATGGTCATGATGGAAGAAGCTACAAAGGACACCCGGGAGACAGAAGTGTACCGGGAGGACGGATACCAAGACCAAGGATGAAGAAAAAACACAGTTCCAAAGGAGGATGTTGAAGAAAGATAGAAAATGGAACAATGTATTTTATTATATAAAAAGCTTAAATATGTTAAAAACGGTGTTAAAACTCTGTATGCCATAGTCATGTATCGTATAGTTTAATGCAATTGCAACAGGATGTATAACAAGGAAATGCTGATATGGGTTCTTTTCAAGGCCGATGGAGCAACGTATGCTCTGTCCTCGGGGAGAGTGAACTCTATAACCCAAAGCAACAAACAGTGAAATTCCTTAATGTCACAGAATCTTTTAACTTCTGTCAACATGTGTCTGGCCCAACGCATAACAAAGGTAACACATTGGATCTCGATTTCACAAGTGGTCTAAATATCAGCAATGTTTGTATTGAAGAGCTATCTGTTTCCGACCATAAAGCCGTACTATTTGTCATGTCGTTGGATAACGCTTATGTTCAGGGGAAGCGAGTAAAAACCTCGCGTATTTTAAATAGCGCTGCGGTTGAGAAATTTGTAACAGCTTTTGACAACAATGTTTTGGTGTCGCATGTTGATGACGTTGATTGTCTCGTCAACGCTTTCAATACACACTGCTCCGCCATTTTAGATGACGTCGCTCCCATGGTGACACGCAGCTCTCTAGCTGTAAACACATCCCCCTGGTTAACAGAGGACACCCGTATGCTGAAACGGCTTTGTCGCAAAGTTGAGCGGCTGTGGAAAACCACCAATCTCCAGGTACACCGTCTCCATCTGAAGGACCTTTACTGTGATTACAACAATTTGGTCAAAAATGCCCGGGCTACCTATTTTTCTAACCTCATCTCCTCTAGTAAGCACAACCCCAGAGTACTATTTAAAACCATAAATACGTTTGTAAACCCGTCCACCCCCTCAGTTCCTATTTATTCAAACGACGACTGCGACCGTTTTCTCACCTTTTTTATAAACAAGGTAGCTGATGTGAGGTCGAGCATCACCCCCTCCCACTCCCCCCTCCCTATCTGTCCAGTGAGGCAGGCCACGCTGAGTAATTTCTCCTGCATCACCATAGCCGACCTGACCGCTGTAGTGAGCGCTATGAAATCCTCCTCAAGCCCTCTGGATGCTTTAACGTCCATGCTAACAGAAGTTTTTTCATGTGTCGCTCCACCCCTGCTCCACATTATAAACCTCTCCATTGCCTCTGGCTCCTTCTCAAAAAACCCAATCTAGATCCCTCCCTCCCGAATAATTACAGGCCCATCTCAAAGCTCCCATTTGTGTCAAAAGGTTTAGAAAAAGTTGTTGCTAATCAACTCAATACATTTCTGAATGACAATAACATCCTTGACAAATTCCAATCAGGTTTCAGAAAACACCACTCCACAGAATCAGCTCTCCTCAGGGTCTCCAATGACATCATGATGGCATCGGATGCAGGCGATTGCGTGGTTCTGGTGTTGTTGGACCTGAGTGCAGCGTTTGACACAGTGGACCACGCCATCATGCTAGATAGACTCAGGGAGTGGGTAGGCATCTCAGGGTCTGCCCTCCAGTGGTTTGCCTCGTACCTCAGTGGGAGAAGTTTCTCCGTGGCGGTGGGCCCGTTCTCATCACACAGCACTCCCCTATCCTGCGGCCTGCCCCAGGGTTCTGTTTTAGCCCCCCTTCTTTCTGCCCTGTACATGCTCCCATTGGGCTGCTTAATTAGCCCATTTGAGGGTGTCTCGTATCACTGCTACGCAGATGATATCCAGATATACTTCTCTTTCAGACCCGTCAAAATGGAAAATGTAAACACCCTCATCACATGTCTGTCTGCCATTGAGGAGTGGATGTCAAGCAACTTCCTACAGCTCAATGCATCAAAAACGGAAGTCTTGATCTTAGCGGCTGATAACATCGCCTCTAAGGTAGCAAGCCACCTGGGTTCTTTCAGTGGTAACGTTAGGGCAAACATCAAAAACCTTGGTGTAACTTTCGATCAGTCTATGCTACTAGACAAACACATCAAACTCCTGACCCGTACCTGTTTTTTCCATCTCAGGAACATTGCCAAACTCAGGGGCTTTCTATCCAACGCAGAACTGGAGATGGCTATCCATGCCTTTATTTCATCCCGGCTTGATTACTGTAATGCTCTGTTCTCCTGCCTCAATCAAACATCAATAAACCGGTTACAACAGGTCCAACATGCTGCAGCCAGATTGCTCACTCGCTCCAAAACAACATGCCACATCACTCTGATCCTTTCTGCCCTGTCCTGGCTCCCTGTCCTGGCTCCCTGTCCTGGCTCCCTGTCCTGGCTCCCTGTCCTGGCTCCCTGTCCTGGCTCCCTGTCCTGGCTCCTTGTCCTGGCTCCCTGTCCTGGCTCCCTGTCCTGGCTCCCTGTCCTGGCTCCTTGTCCTGGCTCCCTGTCCTGGCTCCCTGTCCTGGCTCCCTGTCCTGGCTCCTTGTCCTGGCTCCCTGTCCTGGCTCCCTGTCCTGGCTCCCTGTCCTGGCTCCTTGTCCTGGCTCCCTATCCTGGCTCCTTGTCCTGGCTCCTTGTCCTGGCTCCCTGTCCTGGCTCCCTGTCCTGGCTCCTTGTCCTGGCTCCCTGTCCTGGCTCCCTGTCCTGGCTCCCTGTCCTGGCTCCCTGTCCTGGCTCCTTGTCCTGGCTCCCTGTCCTGGCTCCTTGTCCTGGCTCCTTGTCCTGGCTCCTTGTCCTGGCTCCTTGTCCTGGCTCCCTGTCCTGGCTCCTTGTCCTGGCTCCTTGTCCTGGCTCCCTGTCCTGGCTCCCTGTCCTGGCTCCCTGTCCTGGCTCCCTGTCCTGGCTCCCTGTCCTGGCTCCCTGTCCTGGCTCCCTGTCCTGGCTCCCTGTCCTGGCTCCCTGTCCTGGCTCCCTGTCCATCTCAGAACCCAATTTAAGGTCCTAGTTTTCACATATAGAGCTGTCCATGGCCAAGCCCCAGCCTACATTCACGACCTGATCCACCCTCACAGGACAACCCGGGCCCTGAGGTCCTCTGAGCAAGGCCTCCTAAGGGTGCCCCGAACCAGGCTAAAGACCAAGGGTGACCGTGCCTTTGAGGTGGTGGCCCCAAGGCTCTGGGACAAACTCCCCCAGAAACTAAGAGCCTCTGCCTTAATAGAGATGTTTAAGGGGCAGTTCAAGACCCCCCTCTTCCGACAGGCCTTTGGGTCATCGGAGGAGGTGAGTTAGTAGCTGTCTTTCATTGGTGTTTTATCGTATGTTTTATCGTATGTTTTATCCTATGTATTACCTGCTGTTGTTTAATGCCTTTTATTCTACATTTTATACTTGTACTGTGAATTGTGCCCTGTGTACTGTAAAGCAATTTGTACATTCGTGTTGAGAAGGGTGCTATATAATTAAAGTTTTACTTACTTACAAAGAAAAAACACCTCTGACGCACGAACTTGCACACCCCGGATGTGACAAACCACGTGACAGAAGGGGTAGTGGTGGTCTAATGGATAGTGAGGTGGGCTGAAGATCGGAAGGTTGTGAGTTCAAATCCCGCCTGGAACATCACCACTAGTGTGCCCTTGAGTAAGGCACTTAGCCCTTAGTTACTCCAGGGAGAATGTCCCTGTAATCGGTCATTGTAAGTCGCTTTGGATAAAAGCGTCAGCTAAATGTAATGTGATGTAAAAAAGAAGATCTAAGAAGACTGAAGAACCTTGGAAAATCAGTTCTTCTTGCTAGAAGACTGAACTACCTGGCCTACGCTACTATCTATTATTTTTGTGTGGTGTGTTATAACTTGTACAACTTTTAATAAAACTACCTGTTCACACTTGTGAAAGGTAACTAAAGATCCGCATAGGCCTCTGGTTATTTACAGAGGAAACGTAACCCGTCCCCACATAGCTTGAGTCCTGAGTCCAGCTTGATTCCAGTGTCCTGTCTCCTTGGTTGAGGGTCCATCCCTGACTGAACACTGCAGTCTCCAGAGATAACAGCTGGTAAGTAGCACCTAGTCAACTGTTGCAGAACATAGTAAGTCATATTGGAGGTCGCCAGGATCGTTTGATCTGAAATATGGCAGCAGTGCTTTACGGGTATTACATCCCAAAGGTTTCAGAGATGTGTTTATTAACAGGTCTGTGACTAAAGTCTGAAGGGATAAACTAACAGGAAAGTATACAAATGGATGAATGGAGGTAGTATAGAAAGAAGGGAGTTTATCGGTACCTCGTGGTGGTGTGTGAGGAGGACACACCTTTTATGCCCGGACTGAGTAAAAACCGTATCAATCCACAATACTAAGACGGACGTAATTTTAATGCATGCTGTATTCTGACTTTTTATGCGACTTGCAAATGACTTGCTTTACTTTAGAAATACAACACTTGTGCCTCATATAATGCCATATAATAACCTCTTATTAACTTTGCTATGACATTCTATACGTTTTAATCTAATATCATATGTGCGTGTGTTTCTCCTGCAGGAGTGGAGTTCGTCCGGCCGGTCGTGGGTTATTTCTGTAACTTGTGTCAGCTGATCTACGCTGATGAAGACGAGGCTAAAGTGAAGCACTGCAGCAGCCTGGAGCACTACAGGAAGTACCAGGTCACATATAAATATTACATTCAACCTTCCTGTCGTCCTCGAGTCAAATCTGACCGTCAACAAAGGGTTCTATGTCGGGGTAAAGGTTTACTTTATGTTAGAGACAGAACAATAAGATGTTGGCTTGTTTATCGTGTTTTTACTAGAGAAAGGAATCATTGTCTCATTAAGTTTGGGGTTTTATTCAAATGTACAGCATCTGGGGTCAATTCTGTAAAATCGATCCTTTAACTCAGAAATGAGGTTTGAATTTGTGTAAATTAGGTCCATTGTGAGTGACCATACATTTAAAAATAAGAGTCAATTCTTTGGTAATAAATAGAGGTGGAAGAAGTACTCAGATCTGGTACTTGAGTAAAAGTAGAAGTAGTATTTGTAAGGGAAACTTCTGTAGCAATGGAGAGTCAGGACTCAGAGAGACACGAGGAGAGTTGGAGCTTTGATGTCAAACACTGATGGGTTTATTTGGAGCTTCGGCCCGGAGGATTCACGTCACAATTCACACAGTCAGAGGTTCTGACTTCACGGTAGAGTTGCCACGTCAATTCTGAAGAACTCTACCCCAGACCCGTGTATTTAGCTAGTTCAGAGAGAATAATCAACATTGTGCATAACAAGATAGAATCATAACACCTCTATCAGCTGACGCCAACAGACAGGAACAGGGAGACAGAACACTGAGAGCACAGCAGCCAAGGCTACAGGTGCGTGTGCTCAGTCAGGACAGAACTGATCAACTGGGTCAAAGTTATGCGCCTTGGAAAATATTTCCCCAACAGCTCCTCTCTTTTGATCAATTTTGATAATCTAAAAACCTTAGTCTAAAAATATTTTGGTTCAATACTTAAATCAATGGGAATCTTCAGATTTGAGTGTGGACTTACACAACATCAATTACATCAATAACAATCACATTAAGAACAACATGATAAGATTGAAACATTCAATCACAATGATTGAGACAGCCAATCAGAACAGAAAAATCATCTCTCGTCAGTGTTTGGAGCATCTTTTGTCAAAAGCATAATAATGAACACATATAAAACACAGGTGCACAATAGCAAAATATTTGTTTTAAACTTAACATCTTTTATCATTTAGAGTGCATCACTCTCATTCACCAATGGTAATGTTTAGATGGATTTTAGGAACTTCCCCTCGATTCTATTGGCTCTAACGGTTAAAAAGAGATGTCAATCATCAAAATCGAACGACGGGGGCCAGAGATATGGAAAATCCACCCAAATGACCCCAGAAGTGGTTTCTTTTTGCTAAATCTCTCTAAAAAGGTCAAATGTCACTTGTTTTGCATCAATCTTGATACAGGGTACTTATTATATGTTGTACTTTGGATTCCTAAAGCTTTTAGTCTACCATCCCATCATTCAAGGGTAGTTTTCACTATAAGTAATGTGGTTTTTTTGGACGGACACTATAATTTACAGTTTTTTACTATGTTCAATCTGAATTTTCTTTAAAATAAAAAACATCTATATTGATTCTGACTCTTCTACATCCAACTCACAGGTGTATCATTACTTTGACAAAAAAGATTATTAATTTAACCCTTTTAGAAGGGAAGATATGGTCATTTGTTCTGGGAGGGTCATTTTCGAGCCTGAGACCTGAAAAACAGGCTCAGTGCTTAGCAGGTTTTAAGAATCTGGAACCAATGGATACGTTTGCAGATTTAGTTGATGATCAACAGAAATTGTTTCAGATTAATCTCCTGTTGCTGCACTGATTAACTTTTGATTCTCATGCTGTCTCTGTATCTGTCACAGTTCTGCTTTCTCACTCACCTATTTTCTGCATTAACATTCCTTAGTCACCTGGTAGCCACACCCTGTCTCTCTCTCTCACTCTGTTACACCCATCAACTCCAGTAGTATATAGGCCCACTTCACTTTCACCTCAGTGCCAGATCGTACTTTGCAGCATGCCAGTCTTTCCTGCATTACCCTCCAGATTGCTCTCCCGGTTCCGACCCTGCCTGTCCCTGACCTGCCTGCCTCGCCTGTTTCCTGACCCTGCCTGTACCCGGACTACTCTGCCTTGCCTGCTCCCTGACCCGGTCTGTACCTGCGACTCCCGTCTTGCCTTCTCCTGGAACCCTCGCCTGTCCCCGACCAGCCCTTTGCCTACTATCTGCCTTTTCGTCTCCTACCAGTTTATTGCCTTCAATAAAGCTGGTTACCGACTATCCCTGGTTTCCCGTGTGTTGCATTTTGGTCCTCAGCTCGTTTGTGACAGAACGATCTGGCCAGAAATGGACCAAGCAAACACCGGGTGTCCTAGAGACCGCTTTGAGAGGGTTGAGGAAGCCATCCAAAGACAGGAGGTCACGATAGCTACCTTAGCTAGGCACCATCATCTCCCACATCAAGACCTCACGAAGCCTCCACATCATGTGCCACATCCCAGAGACACAGCAGGTATTAAAGGTTATTAAAGTCCCTGTGATGTCTCAGTGTGAAGATGTTCATGATGAAAAACACACTTACACTTCCTGACACCTGGCCTCAAGAACCGGACTGCAGCAGGCTCCAGGCTGAAAGCAGGGGGGGGGGGGGGGGGGGTCAGTTAGTCTAAATGATGTTATATGTCCACAGACTGCCCCCCCCCCCCATCACATCACTCCTGTTTC